ATATTAACAATTTGTTTTATATTGATAAAAATCAATTATTAAATTATATTTAATAAAATCTCTTTTATATATTATTAAATATATATATGTATATTTATGTACATAAATAAATTGAAATTTCTCCGCAACCAGGAAAACAGGACTGTGGATAATTACTTTAAGAATAATATATATATAAATATATATAAACAGACAATGCATTGCACGTACAATGAATAAAATAACTAGAACAATGGAAACAGCAATGACAGAATTTCTGTCCTGGTTCCTACCTTTAAGCTCGTCAAAGTCTACCAGACTCAGCTGAAGGTTACCTTTCTCCTCCTCTAATAATGCCACTTGATTCCCCAATCTGACAAGTTCCGCATTTGTATCAGATATCTAAATCACAAAATTACATATAAATATATTTTATTATAATTTAATATTTATTTATGTTTTCAAACGAAAATTAATTAAAAAGCTTTGAAATTAACAATAAATCTTTCATCTTATAAATAATAATATTAACATCATTAAAATCTTGCCTTTTTAAAATTTTCCAATTGTTGTTGTAAACTTTTTACTTTACTTTTATGCTTTGCTTTAATTTTGATCATATTTTTATTTAATTCTTCTAATTCCTTAGTAAGTTTTGCCACTTTTTCATCTTCTTTAATAATACCCTCTTCTGGTAACTTCGCCGCAATTTCATTTTTTTCTTCTTCAAGTTTATGAACAAAGTTTTCAAGATCAGTTATTTTATTTGAATACTCTTCATTTTTTAAAGTTAAATCCGTTACTTGTTTTTGTAATTCTGTTTTAGATTCTTCTTCGAGAAATTTATTAGATTGTTTTAACTCTTCTACTAAATTTTCAAGTTCAATTATTCTATTATCTTTTTCTATTATTGCACCATTACCATGCATAGATATATTTACAATTTTATCTTGTAATTCTGCAACGCTTTTTTGTAACTCATATTTTTCATCTTGCAATTGTTTATTATTATGTTCCAATTTTTCTAATTTGAATTGTAAATCATCAACAGTTGGATCTCTGACTATTCCAATACCAGATTCGAGTTTAAAGACTCGTTCATTAGCTTCTGCTAATTTTAACTCATAATCTTTTAATTGTTCCAGCAAATTGTCGTTTTTCGCTTTAAGTGAAGATTCCATGAGTACAAAATTTTCTTGCATTGATTTCATAGCTTCTTTAGTTTCTATCAAAGTATCCATGGTAGAACGAGAGAAATCGACACTGGCAGTCTCAGACAATTTTTGCTCATTAATCTGTTTCCTAAATCTAAATAAAAATAAATAATAAATAAATATATATCGATCGAAAAATAAAATATTAAAAAAATAAAAATTAAAAGAATAGATAAAATTTTAAAAAGTTTATATATAAAATTACCGATCAATTGAATCTTCTAGTTCTACAATTTTATTATCTCTTTCTTGCAATTGCATTAAAAGATTTTCATTTTTATTTTTCAAAGATGTCTCTAAAAGTACAAAGTGTTCCTGCATTGTTCGCATTTCGTCTTTCGTATCTTCTAGAGTGTCTAACGTCGTTTTACCCTTTTTTGAAAGATCTGCAGACATAAGGGTAACTGCCTTTGTCTTAGATTCAATAACAGAATCTTTTTCTTTTAAGTTTTCCTGAAGATCCATAATTGTAGCTTCAAGCTCCAAAATTTTATTATTAAGTTCTGTAATTTTACTTTCTTTTTCTTGAATACTTTCTATTTGAATTGGTGACATGATCTGTAATAAAAATATTAATTATTAAATATAATTACTACTACTTATATAGTAAAAATATTAACAAAGAATTTTAAAAATTAATTACTAACATCAGAAGTAATCATGACTGGTTTTACAGCTGTAATGGATATTTGATCCTTTTGAAAAGCCATTACTGTCACATCTTTTTCTTCTAATTGTTGCCTAATAGCTTCTACTTTTTCTTCAACTGCTCGTTTAGTTTCACTTATTTCTTTATTACGTTGTTCAAAAGCTTTTCTATTCTCTGCTAGCTTTTTTTGGAGTAAAGTAGACTTTGCTTTTGCAGTTTTTGCTTGACTAATATCATCAATATTTTCTTCAGGTGTATCTGTTAAAGCAGTCTCAGATATACGAGCTATATCTTTAGAAGGCAAATTTCCTTCTCTATTTCGACGTGATAACTTAGCTCTAGATTTAATTTTAGAAAGTCTTCTTGCATATTCCTAAATTTAAATTATAATTTTCTAAGTAAAATAGTCAAATTTTTTTCATTGAACTTTTATAAATTAATATTTATTACCTGAACTTCCTCTTCTTTCTTTTTTAAACTTTGTTTATTTTTCAACATAATTTCTTTCAAAGATTCCAACTGACTTTTATTTTGTTCACATTTTTCTTTTGCATGTAGCATAGATTCAGGTGCATCCCCTTCCATTGTTCCTGGTGGTTCTTCTGATGCACTCCACATTATGAACTGTAGTATTAATAACAATAAAAACCACTTCATTATAATTTATGCAAGATAGACTTAAACTTTTATAAATAAGAAATTATGAAATCAATGGCAGTGAAAGTTTCTATAAAGTGGCCAGACAATGTGTCACCCAGTGCTCTCATTTTCACAAACTAATTGGATGAAAGCTTGAATAAGGTAAACTAATTGTATTATCCGTATGTATAGATACTGAATGTCAGAATTAACATTCTAGTTACCTTGTGGCATATTTAATTCTTACAACACTTAAACATGAAATGATATCTTATATAAATTTTCAAATGAAGAAAAATGAAAAAAAATACTAATATTATAATTAATATTAACAAATAATTACTAATAAATAATTATTGCATATATAAATCTTTTTTATCAATAAATATATTTAAATGCATTATATATATTAATTCTATTATATTATTAAGAAATATTTTTTAATAATACAATATAAATACAACATATAATTTTTTTATGTTTTTAAATTTATACTATAATTTTAATATAAAATAATGAATATATTATATTATTTATTATACTTATTAATTATACAAAACAATAATAAAATAAAAATAATTACTATAAAATAATTTAAAATTCAAAATTTTAAATAATTGTATTGATACATGACATGTATAAATATTTATACATGTATAAATATTTAATGAATAAATGAAAAAGTTAACCTCAAATCAAAAATTCTTTAAATCAAAAAAATATAATATTATAAATTAATTTTAAAATAAACAAACAATATAATAAATAATAAAATTGTGCAAAAAATTTAAATATATAATGAAATGACGTAAATTGCATTATGAAAAAAATATATTCTAAACATTTTTAATATCAAAAAATAAAAATTACACAGTAGAACCACTTTCATATACTAAACAAATATGAACATTTTTTTAAATAAAAAACTTTTGAAATTATATTTACCTTTATTTATATTTCTATAAATTGTCAAGATGGAAAGACGTTATTGTTCGTACACATATTTTGTCAAAGAGTTTTTATCATTCACATCTGTATGCAATTAAAACTGAATATATTCATATCTATATTTAGTTAATTTTACAATATTTATAGTGATTTTACTAATAATCACATGTAAATATTAAAGAAATTGTAATACTATGCTTCAAAATGTAAAGTCTACATTACTCCTTTTACAGCCGGAAACAGTTGGACATTTTAAGTGCATATGTGCTGCCACTTTACGGAAATTTTTATTACTATCAAAAAACTTATAGTAATTTAAAGGAAATTTAAAATGTACATAATTTAATGTTAAATTAATTAAATATATATTCAAATATTTCTTAATCTATTAGAATCATTAACCTAATGTTGATAATGTATAATTAAATATTTATTTAAAATCTATTATGGAAACTATTTCAAATTTGATATTTTGATTTTATAAATTTTTCTTAAATATAAAAAATTATTCATATTTAATATTTTTTTATGTATATAAGTTAAAATTATTTTCAAATGATAATTAAGATTTAAAGATTTGAAATTTGAAACAAAAAATATTATTAATAATGCTTATGCATAGTTTTTAGTTAAAATTCGATATAAAATTTTGTAATATATTTTTAAAATATTAATAATTTATTATAATTTAAATATATATAATGAATTATTAATTAAATTTATATATGAATAAATTTTTCTATTTTCTATTATTCAAATAAATGTTTAAAATCCATTTTCACATTAATTGTTTTTAATTTTTTTATCGTTATAAATCATTAAACAATTATAATAATTGCATTATTGTATTTTACGATTAATTTATTTTACATAGAAAATAATCCTATTATAGGCTATTGTATACGTTTCGATATATATCTCAACACAACAGGTGATAACAGCTGATTCATATGTAACAGAAAATACTTCAATTTGCATGTATTTATTTTTATAACATTATTTTAAAATTTGTAATTCCTTAATTTATTTGTATATGCAATTAACAAATATCAAAAATAGATTTAGAAAATTTAATAATAATTATTAATAAATTATGTAAAAAATAAAAGAAAATAAATAATGAATAATATAATGAATAAACAATCAGTTTCTAACAAATTTTTTTATCACATCAATTATAATTGATTTTGAAAAAAAAAAATAAAATACAATTCTAACCTATACGACCTATAACACTTATACGAGATAGATAACACAATATATATATATATATATATATATACATATACAGATTACATAAAACATCATTATATATACTTAAAAAATAATTTATTACATATGTATATGTATATATACATACATATATACATGTACATATATATACATACATATATATGTACATATATATTTATACAAAGAAAGCGTATGAAAGCCATAAGTACGCATGAAAGCATATATGTATATAGTGCATAATATATATATATATGTGTGTATGTATATATATATATATATATATATATATCTATTTCATGCTGGAAGTACCCGCTTGGTGCTACGGCGCATTTGCCAGTATCAACCGTCTGCGTTTATCGACTATCATGTATGCTGTGGCAAATGTGATCCATTGACTTCAAATACAAAAATTATCGTGATTTTTACGTAAACGTTACATCAATAATTATGATGGATGTGCAGAAGCAGTATAAAGGTAGGAAGAGAGATTTCGATTCTTTTCCTGTTGACACTTGAACAAAATATCTAAATCAAACTTAAGATGGAACATTATGACAGTTATCACAATTAAAATCATAATTTCTTAACTATATATTTTCGTTTATAAGTAATTCATTTGATGAAACTATTATTTTTCGATTTTAAACTTTAAATGACTATTGATATATATGTATGTCCGACATGCATTCGATTATTGACATACACTTTTGGAGGGAAGAAAACTGTAGGTGGAGATGTAAATAAACATATATTAATTGATCGATTATAATTACGCATTGTTTTTTTATTTTTTGACAAATAGAATTTTTAATCATCAAAAGATATGTGAAAAATGATCTTGTCTATTTTATTAACTTGTTTAGAATCAAGTAAAAAAGTAGTTTAATCAATGAAACAAATAAAAAAATATTGTCATAAAGATATTAACATATTTTTATTTATTATAGTATATCATATAATAAAAATATTTTACATGAAAAATTTTTATTACATACTTATATTACTATATTCTTTTGAAATGAAAATATCAACATGAAAATATCATAAATAATTATTTTTAATTTAAATTATAATTATTTTAAATCATTATATAAATTGCATATTAGCTAAAAACTATTTATAAAAAAATACATTCACAAGAATGTATCAACAAGAATCATTTATATAAGTAATTAATTATGACGTTAAACTATATCATTAATTAAATATGTTTATTATTACAAAATATTATTACAAAAATATTATTTAAAATAAGAAATATATTCTTACATTATTCTTTTAATCATGAATATTAATATTCATATTTTATATTTTTTAATGAATTATTATATCAATGTAAATCGATAATAATAATTGTATTCTTTTGAGATATGAATATAATAGGGCAAATTGTGCGAAAGTAATGTTTGACTTTAATCGGACTAAATTATCATGCGCGATTTAATTTTTTAATCAAATTATATAATAAGAAAAATCCTTTGATCATAAATATTTTTAAAAAAATATTATATGTATTCAAAGTTGATATAAAATTCTTCAATTTTTCTTTTTTTTTTATTAATTCATTATTAATTTAATTATTATTAATCCATTTATAATCCAATTGTAAATCAAATTATATTTTTTTTTATTTTTACATTTTACATTATATATATAATTTTTAATTATTAAAGTATATAACAAAAAATAATTCTTAATTTTTTTCAAATAATGTATAAATATTTTCGTATTTCATACATCTATCAATTTTTTATTTTTGTATTTCATAATTATCATTATTTCAAATTAATATTTACAAATTGTATATAATAATATAAATCACATAATTATTTAAACGGTATATCTTTGATCTTCAAAGCTTTATGTACTTAACATTTGAATTATATATTTGTCTTTTCTAATTAATCTAAGGCTTTAACCCGTTTATATATATATATAATGTCAATGGTATTTTACATTTATCAAGCAAAATATTATAATATTATTATTATATTATAATATTATTATTTTATAATATTATGTAATTTTTATGGAATTTTAAAGATATTTCAGGTTAAGTGAAATATTCTATAATGAAGAAGCTTTTAAAAAACTTAATAGATATATAATTGTTATATATAATAAATTAAAATATTGATTTATGTATAACTAATAATTATATTTCTCTGTGAAATTAAATATTCGTGTAATATACGAAGATAAAAGGCATTACAATTAAATTTATCTGTAACTAATCTATGTGATATACATATAATAAAGAGATTAATATCGATGTTGTAAATATATATAATATATATATTATCATCAATGTCAATATTATATTTTAACATTAACTTATTATAAAAAGAATAATATATATCTAGATCTTTAATGCAAATAAATTGAAATTTAAATAGTATCTCGAAATTATAAATATAAAAGTGATCTTACATGGATTCAAATATTTGCGTGAAAATCAAAATTACTCGTGAGTCATGTTGTAATTTCTAAAACTATATTTTTTATTTTTAATTATTTAATTATTTACATTTACAATTATTTACATTTTTAAATTATTTTTATATATGATATAGATAATAAATAATGAATATTTATATATGATATGGATGACAAATAATTTATTATTTTTAAAAAAATCATGTAAAGTATTTTTTTAATTTAAAATAATGTGTAAAAATTGATGTGTTATTTAATATGTTATTTACGTATTATTAAATATGTTATATTGACATATTATTAAATGCATTGTATTTATCATCGATTGTTAATCATCGATTTAACATACAATACATAAATTAGCAAAAAATTAAATGGCGCAAATAATAAGGAATGAATATTGAAGGTACGATTACAGAATGTTAAAAAAAAATTTATAATTTTTATGATAGATAATATTCATCAAATGAAAAATCTTAATAATAATTTGAATAATTAATATTTAAACTTATAAACAATTATTTGTTTCGATTAAAGTAAATAACTTATTTGTTTTAAGAATTAATATGTTAAGACTATATATAAAAAACTATTTTATATTATTTTATTCTTTTTTTTCTTGATTAGAAAAGACTTTATATCTTTTATTTCCATTTTTGTCACAAAGAATTTTTTATATCTTTGTATCAAAGAATTCTATACTTTTCCTAAAATTCATGGACTTGCACCAATTATTTTATTAGTATTTTATATTTTTCAATCTAATTCTATATTATTAATTGTTAGAAAGATCATTATATCCTCCAAAAAAGATTTAAATCAGAAAATTGAAGAGATCATTTGATTCATCTCATTCAATTCATCTTTCTTATTTAAACAAATAAATAAATTATCTACTTAAAAAAAAATTATTTTAAATTAAAAATAATTTTAAAAATATTAATTTTACATTCATATTTATTAGGATTTTTCTTTCTTTCTTATTTATTTTTCTTTCTTTCTTTATTTAGCAAATTATTTGAAAATTATAAAGTTTTTTTTATCATCCTGTATGCATTGTTTGAGGCAGTGGTTCTTAACTTTCATCAATCAAATTTCCTTTAAATAATTTTTTATTTTCATGGTTTTCTAAGATTTAACTTAATATCTAAATTTATTGTGATATTATATATATATATATATATATATATATATATATATAAAACTATTCAGTTTTTTCAAATATAGAAAAAAAATATTTATTATAAATCAATAAATAAAATAAACATATTCAGATTAAATATTTATTCGAATATGAATAAATCATCCTTGTTTAGCCATTAATGTTAAATGCGTATCATAACATAGCGAATATCGTGCTTTCTCTCACTCTCAGTGAAGATTACACGGTCTCTCCGAGGTCTGCGGACTACAGGTTAAGAACCGCTGGTCTGAGGCATAGTCAAGGATAAAACAACACGGGTTCAGTCAGTACGTGTCATTCGACAACGGAATGTCTCATATAACGAGATTGAACAAGTGAAAATCTAAAAAGTGTAGTAGGCCACGTGATCAGTTTTAAAATGTTACTACTCGAAACTTTATTTCAACGAAAAGGTATACGCCAATAAAATAAAAGATGAAAATATGCTCTGTGATATGTTAATCAAACATGTGTTATACGAACTTACATGTATGTATGTATTTGCGAATTTTTCTCGAATCCATGCTTTGTAACATATGATGCGTAATACAAGATCATATTGTCAGGTGAATTCATGAATTAAAGACAGAATTATTCAACATGTTAACACAAATATATTCATATAGATCTTTGTTTACATCCTTTTATGGAAGATGTATATGAATCATTATGTGATTCATTATACATTATTCACGAATTACACATTACACAAATCAATAGATATTAAATTTTGAATTTTGTTACCAGTATTAAATATTTGCAAATTATAAATCTACAAGTTCTAAGAATAAAGTAAATGTTATATATATATATATGTATGTTTATACTTATATGACGTGTATAAAAAAATAATTACTTTCCATGCATATAAATAAATGTAAATTAGCTACATGTAATTATCATGTTATTTTTTTGCAATAATAAATAAATTAATTATTAATTGTTGTAAGACATATAAGTTATTAATCATTATTTTTATGTAACAATAATTTTTTTACAATAATCTTTTAGTTTTATATTATATAAAAATTTATTTATTTCATCGATATCCTGAATATTATTTTATTTTAGCTAGTTATTAATGTTAACACAATCATATTATGTCATATCATATTATTGTTATGTAATATAAAAAAAAATAATTTTAATTATTTTTAACGAATTTTTTTTTTAAATATTTAAAATATATTTTGTAAATAAGAGAACGAAAAAGAAAAATAATAAAAAATAATAAAATAAAAAATAAATTAATATAGTCTATTAATTAAAATTATTTTGTTTTTTAAAAAAATCCACATTAATATACATTGATTTTTCTCAATAAATTTTATTATAAATTATAATAAAATTAAAATATCTTATTATTAATGTTTTTTGTTATATTTCAACAAATTTTCCAGTAAATATTTTAGTAAAATATTTTAAATAAAATTTTATTGTATTTTAAATTAAGTATTAATTAAATAATAATTAAAGAAAAATAGAAAATTAAAATCTAGAAAAATTTCTTGATACAATATTGAATCCATTAGATTTATAATGAGACTAATCAATGAAAAATTAATTAATAATGCCTGTTAAATTTGTCGAAATAATAAATATCTGTGTAAATATATTATAATTATTCTGTTTAATATTTTTATTTAAATTTCTATGAAAATTAATATTATATTTAACTAATATTTTCAATAATTTATAAATGTAAATTATTTCTCTGAATTAATAAGTTTTTTTTTTTACATATATCTTCTTTTTTAAAGAATATATAAAGCCAATTTTAAAATGATAAGCATTTTTTTTTCATTCACACTTATTTATATTCATCATATAATTTAAATGATTTCTTGGAATGATTATACTTTTTCAATATCTTCGAGAGAGTTATCTAATGAATATATATATATATATATATATATATGACATTATATTTTTTTATAATAAATTATTTTTAACCATAAATTTAGTTTATTTTTTTAATTTAATTATTTTAACAATATAACAATTTGCACTCAATTCGATTCAAAATTATTAATATTAATATTAATATAGAAATACATTATAAATAGATTTTGTTAATTTATTTTGCGATATTTCATAACAAAATGTTTTATTAATTAATTAATAATAATTGAAAATTTGTTTAATTCAATGCAAATTAAAATAATTACTGAAATTCAAAAAATATATATCATAAACTCTTCTATTATTTTAAATATAAATAATTATAAAAAAAACTAATTTCAAAAAAACAAACAATAATTGATATCAAATTGCAATTATTAAATAATATTAAAAATTTAATGATTGTTCAGATATTATTTTTAATAATTATTTATTAATATAATTAAATAATTTAAAAAATAATAACTTATTGATATTTCTTATATAGATATTAATTAAAATTCAATTAAATTTTAAAATAAATAAAATATACAAATCAAATTTATACTTGATAAAAATACTTTTAAAAAAATATATTAATTTGCATTAAAAAAGAATCAGAATATGAAGAAACACAAGATTAAAGATACAATCTTTTATATATATATATATATATATATATATATATTTGTTTTATTTATGCATATATATGCGATAAGATAATTAATAGATAGAAGAATAATATAATTTAGCAAACAATTTTTATCACAATTAAATTAAATTTCTTATTATTTCGTTCAGTTTATTTTTTAATCTTATACTTATATACCTTAAAATATGACATACTGATTTCACTTCATTACATGTATGTATCTATTATTTTTCGAAATTTCATATTTCTCCTTTTTTTAAATTACACTATATACATATTTTTTTTAATCATATGCATCAATTAATAATTGAGAAAGTATAATATTTATATTTACAGATTTTTTAGAAAATTTAACATTTTCTTTCATTTTATTTTCTTTCGTATTCTTCATTCTCATATAATTTTTACTATTTTAAAAATATGGTTTGATCTAATTATATGTAATACGATCTATATATACATATATTAATCAACATTTAAATCGATTCATAATTACATTACGAATGCTGCCAGCAATTAGCTAAATCTAATATAAAGTGGTATGCCAAACAAGTTCATAGTTAGCTTAACATTGATGCTATTCGTTGATACAACAAGCGAGATGTTATCTAGATTTACTATGGTAATTCTTATTGTTAGTCAAGTGCATGCGTACCCGATGAATCTTTGATCTTGTCAAGAGTCTTCATCGACCTCTTTTCACTATCATGAATCCTATTCATTTTTTCAATTGAATAGATGCACTTCCTAAAACATAAACAGGATAGTTAACTAAAAATATAGTGTATTTTATTTTTTCTATTAAATAATATTATATATTATATAATATAATATTAAACTATTTACAGTAATAATATGAAATAATGTTAAATTTTTATGTTTAGTATTATAATATTAATAACACTAAAGGAAACTGACGTAATATTAATAACACTATAAGGAAATTGACGTAAATAAATTATAAAGTTAAAGAGAAAAACAAATTTTAAAAAAAAAAAATTAATTGAATAACAATTTATTTTAGCACTTTTTTTTTTTATTTTATTTTTTTTATTTTTTATTATTTCTATTTTTTTATTTTTATTATCATATTTTATTATTTTATCATTTTCTTTTACATATAATTATTCAAAGATTATTAAAATTAATTGAATAATAAATATACATAAGTTTTTAAATTCAGTTATATGCTTTTTTTTAATTATATATATATATACCATCATCTAAATTGGAAAATTTAACTCAAAAAATTTTAATATAATCTAAAGGATATAAAAAAAAACGTTTTTTATTATATTTAATTATTTTATAATTTAATTAAACATTTGTTTTTAACTAAAAATAAACTTATAAGAAAGTTTAAATTTCAGAAAAAAGTAAAATCAAATTTTTTAAAAATATTTAATTCTCAAATATACCCGGTCATTTGCACAATTTTGCTGCAAACGCGTTAAAAATGGTAATTTAATCAGCTATTTAAAAAGGTTAAAATTGAGTGGTTGTTCAATGCATTGTCAATCGAATCCGGGTTATCTTGTATAACATCCTGTTCTGCAAATTGTGTTTTTCCTTTATTTTTATTGCAATACAAGTAACACTTTATGATATAAGTAAGATAAATTTATTTGAATAATCATTGCAATTTTTAAGATATTAATGATTTCTTAATAAGAAAAAAAAAACATTAAAAATAATAAATATATACGATGATAATAGTAAAAATTATTAATAATTAAATATTAAAATAAAGTAATAGGAAATTTTTAACGATAAATTTAATACTTAACAACTTGCAAAATTGTTTTCATAAATAATTTTTAAATGGTTTATCATAAAATTTACTCTGACAAAGGATAAACAAATAAATTATATTTTAACATAACTCATAAAAATATACAAATATATAAAATATAAAAAAGATGATTCAATACTGATTGACTTTTTTGTTTTTGTAAATATTGATAAATAAAAATTTAATTAAAAGATATATCGAAATGAAATAAATTAAATAACAAATAAAAGAAGTTTAAAATTTATTGAAATGAAAATTATAAAAATTACGAAAAACTAATAACAATTTATTTTTTGTAGTGACGCCTAGGAGCGGTGAAGATAAAAATCAAACGCCACCGACTTTGCTTTCAAGTTTAAGGAGCGTTTTATTTGTAATTGGAACCGTAGTAATCGGATTTGCTGCATTCTGCAATTCGCTAACATGGTAAATTTTAACAGATAACATATACAAATAAGATATTGAAGACATTGTTGTCGCAAAAGATATAATAATAATTATACAATAATTAATTAAATCAATTATTAAATGTATTTACATTATTTATTATTATTAATTAATTATTATTATTAATATTAAAATTATTTTCAAATTATTTCGATCTTTTTATTCTTTTAGGCATTTACAAAGATTTTGGGGAGCCTCAGGTGATTTTTGGCAAGCACAATGGGATAAAATCTTAGATAAATTAGGAGATGATCCCGGCACGCTTTGGGTTTATGGTAAACTAAAATAAATCTGTCAAAAAATACATATATAACATATTCCAAGATAAATATTATTTGATGTAAATTTAATCGAAATCATTTAAAGATATAAGATTATTGAATTTTATTGCAGGAAACAAATATTTTATTTCTTATTCATAAAGTTATTTCAAATGTATTTGACATATTATTAAACTTGACAATATATAATTGCAATATTTCATATTTTCATATTTCTATCTAAAAAATTATAAAATAAATATATATAAAAATAAAAAGTTTTTAAGTTATTTAAAAAAGAAAAGAAAATTAATGTTTATTAATGCTTATTCATAAAATAAATGATAAATAATATGTTAAAAATAGTATTAGAAAGGAAATAAAATTATCATCAATTATCATTATCAAATTATAGCTTCATTTTTTTTTTTTAAAAGATAGAAATGATAGATAGAATGAAAGATAAATTATTTTTTGAAACTTATTTTGGAACTTTCTTATATATATACGTTCAATATTTTTTTGAAAAATTGTAAAAGTAAGAATATTATTCATTAATAGAAAATTAATTTTTTCCAGGCTCGATAGGACTGACATTTTTCGTGTACTGGTTCTTTGGCGGGATTTATATGATTCTAGATATAACTAATCGGCCAGCAGTTTTACGAAGATACAAAATACAACCGGGTACGAACGAACCGGTCGACACGAGAGAATTGTTCAAAGTAATCGCTCAAGTACTATTCAATCAAACTATTGTTGGACTTCCTCTAGCGTACATTAGTTATCACCTTATGGAATGGCGCGGTTATCCCCCTGTACGCGAATTGCCGACCTTCCACTGGGTACTTGTTGAAATTGCTTTTCACATATTGTGTGAGGAAATTGGATTTTATTACTCGCACAGGTATGGAAATTTTATATGTTTTTATTAATATAATTTAATAATGTACTTGGTTCTTCGTTCATTAGAAAATATTTCATATTAATAATATAAATTATGCTTGAATTTATAGTATCTTTTAAATTAATTTATCCTAAAAGATATGTACATTAAATTAAAACTATATATGCAAAGTTAAATCTTTTTTTTTATATTTTTTAAAATAAATTTAGATTCAAATGAATAGATTAAAATTAATTATTTTATATATATTATATTATATGTTATTTAAAATAATCGAAGGATATACATAATATTGTTTAATTAATATTTGTTATAATTTTCAATTATTTTTTAATTATCTTAGAAATATTTTAAGCAATCATATTTGAATAGATTTTCCTCTATAATATTATTTTACGTAGAATTTTATATATCTTTGCTATTATAAAAAAAAATCGTGCAAAAGCAAAATTACATTACAGATTTCTGCATAGCCGCTATCTATATAAATATATACATAAACAACACCATGAATGGACAGCTCCCATAGCTATAACATCGCTATATTGTCATCCTTTAGAACACATTGGTTCCAATTTATTACCACCGTTTTTGGGAGTATATATCATAGGTTCTCATGTGGCTACTGCTTGGCTTTGGTTTTCGCTTGCTATTCTTTCTACATTAAATGCGCATTCTGGTTACCATCTACCGTTTTTTCCATCTCCAGAAGCTCACGATTTTCATCATTTAAAGTAAGTAATTTTTATATATTCAAAATTATTTATTTTAAATTAAAATTGAAATGTATTATATATATATTAAAATAATTAAAATATATTAAAATAATTTTTTTTATCAATAGAAGTTTCTATACCGATGTAATATAATTAGATTTTATATAAAAATTTAAATATTATTAATAATTGAAATTTAGAAATTATAAAAATTATAAAAATTTTTATTGTTTAGAAATTGAAAATATTGATCATAATATTATTCTAGGTTTAATCAATGTTTTGGAGTTTTGGGAGTATTAGACCGAATTCATGGAACAGACACACATTTTCGAAATTCCAGAGCTTACCAACGTCATGTAATGATGCTTAGCTTTACTCCTCCAAGAGAAGCTTTTCCAGATGAAGTAAAATATAAATCTAAATAAAGAAAGTTTTATTGAATATCGTGATAAAAAAGTTAAATAAGAAAGTTCAGTATAATAATATGTTCAATATGAAATATACTATAAGATACTTTTGCACTTGTTTTATTAGTTTTAATTAGTCATTTAAATTTAATCAGTAATATATAATAAAAATTTATATTTTTCAATAAGTAAATAGGATTAAATAAATAGGATATAATTTTTTTATTTAGAAACTGCATATTTTTAGTTATTATGCAATTTCAGTTATTATAAACATAGTGACGTGAATATAATGTATTATTAAGCAATCTATGTATTATTTTTACAGTTTTTGTACAAAAATATGATAAATGTAATTTTAACCAATATTTTCAGATGTAAAAATATTTGTTTTAAATACAACATTTGGAATTTATTTTTTAATTCAAAGTTATAAAAAAAAAATGTCTGGAACATTATACAAATTTTAATATAACTTTAATAGATGAATTTTAGATTATTCGAATGTTTTTCTTACAAAAAAATATATTGTTAGAAAACTTAGAAATATATCGAATATTTCATCTAAATATTACTTTGTTAATAATCACATGATATAGCGGTATTCCAAAAACATATTTGACAAAATTATGTTTATATTGAAATTATAAAGATGAAATTCTTTGTGAGACAATTACTATTTTTATATTTAATTTAATAATGAAAGCAATAAATTTAATCTAAGAAAAAATTATTATCGTAGCAGCATAGTAAAAAATATAATTACTTTAAATTATTAAAAACCGAAGATTATTAAAAATCGAAGATTATGCACTTTAAAGTTACAAAATAAGAATTAAAATATTCAAAATTCTTAAATACATTAATATCAAAATAATAATGTTCTTCTCTAATTAAACTTATGCATATAACAAGAATATACAAATCAAATCGGAATTGAAGTTTCATCAATTTTTTTATATATAAAACAAATTTTTTTATGTGATATAATTATATATAAAAAATTATTAAAATTATATATCACATTTATAAAGATACTATCCTATTATTTCTTTAATAATTATTACAAAGAATTCTTTAATAATTATACAAGAAAGGTTTCATTATTCTTTGTCACTATAAATTTTGTACTTTATATGAAATGCTAATATTAATAATTTTATGTATCTACACATAATAAGCTTATTAATAAAATATCGAAATCAGAATTGCGAATTTTTTTTTAATGATAAAAAATGTAAAAAATAACAAAACATTTTCAATTACAAGTACTTATATTTTATAAGAATATGAATAATTTTTTTACATACATATATAAAAATAGTTATTGCTTTATTATATCTGAATAATATACAAATTTTACGAACGTTAAAAAAGATAAAAAAGTTCGTAAAATTCTATTAATTCTACAGTATTAATAACAATTGCAGCAACCTTATTAGATAAAGTAATTGCATAAATCAAATTGCTTATATATTTTATAATATGATAATTTTACAAATGGACATTTAATGTCCATTTTATTCTTCCATTTATAATTATAATTATCAATTTATATAAACAAATTTTTTTGAAAACAAGTAAAAGGATAATAACACATAATAATTGTAATAAGTAAATGCAAACATCAAATTATATAAATAACTTCTTTGGCGAGCTAAATACTACTATTTTACAATTCGTAATATAAAGAGCATTTTATAAAATTTAAAAAATAAAATCAAATTTTAATGAAAAGGAAATCATATGGAAATATAATTAAAAACAAATTTAAGTTATAAAATATACCATATATATCATATATATATATATATATCAAAATATAAATGTTTTTTCATATCATATCAAAAAAAACTTACTTTTATATACTGGAAGAAAAGACATTAACATATCACTGGTTTCATAGTCAAAAATTCTTGGCACATTTATTTTTTTATTAAGAATTTTTAATAAAAGTAATTAAAAATCTCTAATTTTAAAAATTGCTTTAATATACAATTATAAAAGTGTCATTAATTATTTTATAAATTAAGATAAAATCTTTATTTTGAAAGTACTTCATTTTTAGAATTCATAATAAATTGTTATTGCTATAATTGTAAATTTGTTGTTATTTCCATATTGTCTTTCCTATGCACCATTTGTCTAAAATTATAAACATGATACTAATTAATATATAATAACAAATCTCATATTAAGGCAGTAGCATGATAAAAGTATATGCAAAAGATTGCAGTAAAATAAAAAATTATATATAATTGAAATATAATATTTTTTCTAGCTATAATGGCAAAATAATATATTCAACTGTTATGTATATATATTGCATATATGAATGAAAATTATGAGCCGAATTAAGTAATGTCATATTTATAAGTATTAATCATTGTACATGCCATCAATAAGAAAATCCATTCGTCGGTAGTGTCTTTTATCCCAACAATCTCTACCTTGTTTATAAACCATGAAAATAATAGCACCCAAAACTGGCAGAGCTATAAGAGTAACAATAACTGGTAAAACATAATCAATTTTCTTTGGCATTCCTACGCGTGAACCTTTAGTACGAGGTATAAATGCTTGTTTATCGTTATTAGATTCTATTACTGTTGCAGTTGGTTTAGGTTTATGTTCTTGAATTGATGATGCTGTTACAGGAGCACTTAATAATTTTTGTGTTACATTTGTTAGATATAAAGTATTATTTACAATTGTATTTGAAGCATTATTTATATTTTTATCGCTAACATTTGATTTTAAATTATTCATATTTATATCAATTTTTGCATTTATATTATTAGAAATATTACTTGCTATTGTTGAAAATTCAATAATAGGTTTTGTGTCATTGGATGGTGTTATTTTAATAGAAATATTTCCATTATCTGCTCCTTTTCTCGACACAATTTTAGAAGTATTCTTTTTTTTGTTTAAATATAAAATATCATCTTCTTTTTGTGATAAATTATCTTGTAAATCTAAATTATCAGTAACATCTTTTAAATGGGAAATAGTAGATGTTTGCTGAGTAGGAGGTATAAGTGATATTGGACCACCTTCTCCAGCAACTAAAGGAGTGGCAATACTTTGCTGCAATAATATTTAGTTATTATTATTATATGTATTTTATTTAGAAAAAAAAATATAAAAATACAAAAAAAATTAATTTTTTTAAATATATAGTATATTTAAAATTTATAGATAATTTATACATTTATTAATTGATATATATATATATATATATATAATATTATGTTTTTATATTACGTACATTCTGTATTTTTTTAGAATTAACGGATTCAGGCATAAATTGAATTGATGAAGATGAAATTCGATGTTCGGTTTTGAAATCACTATCAATATTGTTTATATTTAACGTTAAAGATGTATTACCATCTGTTTTAATTTCATCACTGATAGATAAGGTTAGAATAGATACAAGCCATATTAATCGATGAAAATTTTGCATCATGAAAACACGCATTATTTTAATTATAAAATTTTATTTTTTGATACGATTCTTTGCAGATAAATCTGGTTAAAACTTTTATAAAAATATAGAAAAACTAAAAAAAAAGTGGTCTCAACCACTAAGAAACTGTTTGCTCCATCATAAGCACGCAACTATTGCGTAAATATATATACGCGAAAAATGACATATGTAAGAATATAGATATTTACTTATACATATATTTTTTATTTGAAATAAATTTTATCATAATTTAATAATAAAATTTTATTATTTTTAATTTTATTAAAGCAATCTTATTATTATTATTTGAAATCCAGAAATATTATAATTTATAAATTTAAAAATTTAAATTAATCACAAATGTTTCTTCTATCATTATGTTATAATAAATATTAAAGAAACTAATAAAAGGAAAATTTTATATTTTTATGAAATTTTAACAATATATTTTATTTGCAAACTAATAAAAATTAAAATCATAAAAAAGTATTACATTATTATCAAATAGTTAGTCATCAATTATTGATGAGAATTTAATATAAAAGTATTATGATTTATCAAATATCAAGGATTAAATATATAAAAATTATTTATATAATATCTTATTATTATATATAATAATAAATATAATAAATATTAAATTTATAGTTATTATTCTATATCTGTAAAGAAATTAAAAACACTAAATATATCTTCTTCTATACCATGTAATATTTATAATATTTCATATAAGAAATAATTTATTTTAGTAACAGTTATTTTCATGATTGAAGAATCATTTTAAAATGATTAAAGTTATTTTAAAAGATTACGAAATAGTGAAGATCATGTTACATGATTCACTCTTATGTGCATACAATATATTATCGCTCATGACTTGCTTATTATTATAGCATTGTTTAGCTTTATTTATTATATTTTTTTTATTTCTTTTTTCTTTATTTTATATTTTTTATTTCTTCATTCTCATCAGAATAGAAATGCTTTATTAAAAATGTCATTTATAATTAATTAATTTTTAATTTCTATTAAAAACTATTTTCAATTTGAACAACTATACATATAACAACTATATATATTTTTTCATGAAATTTTTATGATAAAAAAATAGAAAATAATGTTAAAAAAAATTAATATGAGAAATTGAAAATAAAAAAGAATATCATTTGTTTATTTAAAAAAAAATAATTTTTTATATTATAATAACTTTTAAAAATCTTATCCAAGATTATTTTGAAATTTGAAATATCTATAAACTGTTCAAAAATTATTAAATCATCAATCATATCATGATTAATTTTATCATGAAATAAAAATACTTAGAAACACGTGATTTATCATATAACATTTATGTTTGAAAATAGACAAAATATTTTTATAATAAATAAATTAATAAATTATAATTAATAAAATTATTTAATAAAATATAAATATATATTAGCAAATTTTTCATGTTATCTAGTTTATTACATTTCTTACTTATTTTAAAAGAATTAAAAAATATTGATTTCTTTTTTTGGTTTTACATTGTATAATAATCAAAATTTAAATATTAATTGTATCGCGAATTTTTATTTTTTATCATTTTTTTTCATGAGAATTATCGTAGATTTTCATGAATATTATTCGTATTATTTATTTTTTCATGTTAATGAAAAAAATTTTTTGTTTCAAAATATTATTTCGAAATATAATAAAGAAGTTTTTATAATGGATACTGGATATTTTATCATTAAAGATAACTAAAAGATTACATTAAATTTCTTTTTTTATTATCATTCTATTTTTATATTATCAGCATTTTTTTATACTCTAAATATATATATACGATAAAAAATATAGAATATAGAATAAAAAAATATAGAATTTATTTAAAAAAAAAATTTTGTATATTTGAACATAATAAAACATAAATATTAATATTTTATATTTTGTCTTGTAACTACAATTTATCAAGGAAAAATTTTTTAAATTAAAAAAAATGTAATTAGAAACAATATATGTATACGTAAATAATTACGTAAAAAAAAAATAAGATTAATTAATATATTTTTCGTTTATCTTAATTATTATCATATTTTCTTGTACGAGATAAGTTTAATCAACATATAGATTGAATAAATACACATATTATATTTAAAAAAAGATTTTAATTCATTTCAATATTTAATTTTTATTTTATTACATGATAATTCTATATATCCTAATAGGAAATATTTGTCTTCCATATGGACAATTCATTAATATTATTATTTTAAGATTCATTAAACTCTCTGACTCATGAAAATCAAAGTAACAATCTAAACGGACAATTCATCAAATATTGAGCTATACAATTAAAACATGTTAAAATATCTGACTCGTGGAAATTAAAATGACTAATCTTGTTATCTAACGTAAATGCAATTGATATGATTTTTTGAAAATATAAATTTTTAAGAAATACATTCTCATACAATTGATTTATATAATTTATAGATAAAAATTTATTCATATCGATCAAATTCTACTTTTATAAAATTGAAATCATAGCGATATCGTAATAAACACACAATGTTATCATTTATGATACCTATACATGTATATGTATCTGAATATAACATACAAAGTTATATACATAAAAGTTATATACATTTATATAACATATAAGTTATATAAAAAAATGTATATAACAAACAGAAACTACTTGTTTAATGAAATGAAATGACTATTTGTCATGATTATTATCATTTCGATCAAATTTTTCGTTTTTATTTATATAATTAATTATTTAAACTCGATATCTTTTTGTTACAAAATATGATTGATTTATGTTATTCACATGATATTAATTAAACTGATTACATTTTTCTGATTACAGATATGAAATCAATTACATATATATCGATCAAAATAATATTTCCGTGATATAACTAGGACAATACGTGATATATTAGAGCGGAACAATCATGCTCTATTGTTTCAAAAAAAAGAAATGACACATTATGATCATATAAAAATCAACACTTTATGCTTATGGAAGATATAATTTTTCTTCATTATTTAATTTATCTATATCCAATTGCGTTGTACAAAACACAGTACCAGTTTTCGTAATCGTTTATTAAATAGCTCATTTCCAGTATGCTGAACCAATACCTCGTGCATTTTATTTACATCAAAATCTTTGATTTCCTTCGTATCTAACGTGAGCATCTTTATCATAAAGCTTATATGGCTGAACTCGCGTACAGCATCCTCAGCCAATTTCACTTTATATCCTTCCTTGCTAAATTTGCTCGTGTCGCATCCCATTTTATTTAACGTGTCTATTACAGTTTCATAATACAGATCTATGAGAGCGTCGATTTCGTCCTCCGTTACTTCGAGTTTCACGCTAGAATAAAGGAAAAAGAGCAGATCGCGCATAGGACTTCCGTAAAGATATATTTGAAAATCAACGAATTTCACATTGTCTATCTTTCCTTTATCGTTACAATGAAACATCACGTTGTTCACCCAGAAATCGCAGTGAATGATGGATATCCATGGTTCTCGATACGAATCTGCCCACAATTCCTCCAGTTTCAAATTTGATAAAATTTTATTACATTTATCGAAATGAGGGCTTATTTCTGGATCTTTCTTTATCTGTTCCAATATTAATCCGAACATCTGTTCTGAGGTGGTTTGTACATGTTGTAAAGGTTTCGCATACATTTTGAACATCTCGAATATACCCGGTCTTTTTTGTTTCATCGCTATTCCCAAACTATGGAATCTGGCCATAGCTTTTACGGCTTCCCCCGCATGATCTAAGTCGTAACCTGTATAAAAATCATCGAATAAAATAATTTTTAAATATTTTCACGTAATATATAATACAAATGTGATGAGTTGATTCATGATGTTAAAAAGAAAATTTGTTTGACAGTATTACAAGGGTTTTACAATCGACTCTATCATTCAACGATAAAAATATGTACGCAACTGATCTGTTGAAAGCATCGCTCTGGATTTGGAAAAGGAATTATTCTTTATTGCGTACGATATTGCATATCTTTAATGTAATGCAAACAAAAATTATTATTATTACTATGTAAAAAATATATTTAATATATTTTGATCGTAGTTCAATATTTCATATTCATCAAATTTCTAATTTTTTTGTAAGTTGTAAAATTAACATACACGTATTTAAATCTTTTAATATAAAAAACAAACATACAACAATAAAGAATTTAATAACGTCATAAATGATAAGAAAAAGTTCAAAGTTATCGACATGAGCATATCATGAAAATGACATCTCTAAATAAACTTTTAAAATTATAATTATAAGAATCTAATATTTAGAACCTAAATTTTAAAATTAAAATTTTAAAATTATAAAGAAAAGTTACGCTATATATTTCAAAAAAATTTTTTCCATATTCATGCACATTCTGTAGTATTGCATTTTATATATATTTTTATATCATAGCTCTTACTGTATAATTTTCAACATAAATGCGAAATCTGTTAACTAATTTATATGTGTGTATGTATGTGTATATGTATGTACATGTAAATACCTGTAGCTCTGTCGGCGCTATAATAACCCTTAACTTTTAGATTCTCCATAAGAAGAACAGCGTCTTCATCAAATTCTCCATCTGGTTGTAAAGACAATCTAGCCCCATAAAATTTCGGCAAAAGTTCAAACACTTCGTTTTTTCTCAATCCGCATTCTAATTCTAATTTATTATAAGCCGGCATAATGGTCTCATACATAAAAATTTCTTTGATGAATGTGCGGGAACTATTAAAAAGTTCTTTTTGATATTCTGTTGGTGGACACATCTTCGCGATAAGATGAAGATCTTCCTTCTTTTCTGTAATTTTATTCTTCAACTCGATATGAACGCTGAAAATTGTACTTCCATAATTTTCACCAGGAGGTAGCAACGATTTAGTGGTATAATTTTCCACAACCATTTGATCTTTGATTTTTAAAACGGAATCAAGATCGCGGAGTACAACTTGTTTCATTTCAAATACACTACTATCCATGATTATAGGAGAGAATAGTACGTGTTATGTCAAATATTTATAGAAATCGCTCACAAAATATTTTTTTATGAATCAATCACAAATAACAAAGAATCCAAAGAACTACTAATAGCCGTCTTAAATATTGATTGAATTTATAAGATCAGATTACTGACAAGATTAACGTTCTTATCAATTTTGGGATTATCAATGCGTATTATTAGATAATCCCAATTGATATATATTTCAACTATTCAAACCAATACGATACTGATAAGTAAGTTATACTAGCGTAGATTGTATTGTGGTTTCACTTATCATCTTTCTTCATCGTGATAATGATCGTTTCTGCTCGCAATCGTTTCTCCCACTTATTATCGTCGGTTTGTCCTCGATTTTAAAAGAGGATTCAAACGTACTTTAAAAACATACATCCGCGTACTTTCTCTAAAATATTATATTATTCATATAACAGATTATAAATAAAGAAAAAGAAATAATTTTATCATTTTTTTTAAATACTTTTATCATATTAATTAAAAATATTTATTAATTTATTGTATGGTTTGTTTAAAAAAGAAATGTATAATATATTATATGCACGAGTTTTTTTCGTAGATATATATCTTATACATAAATGTATTAAAATTATCATTCTATTAGGAGATAAAAGAGAAATTAAATCTAGTCAAGCAAATAATGCCACATATGGATTCTGAATTTTTCTTCATGTTTTACTACCTGTTATTCTTTATTATTATCAAAAATTAAATGAGAATTTCTAGCAGTTATGTTTATGACTAATTCCAAGTTATGAATCATAATGAATAAATATTGCAATTAATCTTATAAAAATTTTATATACTTATATATAATGTTTTATTTATAAATTTAGGAATAAAAATTATATTTATAAATTAGCGCTGAAATATCCAATTAATTTTTTAATTTTAAATTCATTTGAAATATTACTTATCTTTTTAAAGAAGAATTAAAAAAATATAATCTTTTTTTTTAAATACCAAATACGAATTGGAAAAGTACATATGTAAAAATAAATAAGCTAAACAAGATATATGTTTCATAAACGAATGAAATAAGAATTATTTTTTTTAAAAAAACGATTTATATAATAAAAAGGATAAATTTATTTATGAAAAAATATAATAATACAAAAATATGAAACAATAACAACATTATAATTCATGTTTTATTGAAATATATGCGTGTGTGCGCGCACGCGCGCATGTATATGTATTATATAAAGTTTTCATATCCAACATGATGTTTCTCACATGATGTATATGTAATTAGAAATTTGTCAGATCCATTATTTTAAGTCCTTTTTTATATGAGACTTTATATATTTTTATATATATAACGATAAAATTTTATATTATATTAAATTGATTTTTCAAGTTCGTTAATTAGTTTGGATTATGAATTATATATTATAAATTTCATGAATTACAAATTCCATAAATTCTGTAAAAATTAATATACTTTAAATTTTATCTAACCACGAATTATTATAATTTTTTACTTTTTTAATATCATTTATATATTTAATTAATCATTATTAAAATTAATTTTAATTAAACAATTAAAATTATATCAAATATAAAAATGGATTAATTTCATAAACAAAATAAAAAAACATGTTTTAATTAATTAATAATAAAATATAGATTATAAAATTTTTTTTATCTATTTTCTCTATTTTATAATTAAAAAATAAAAAGCAAAATATATTTTTAATAAAAAATATATATAAAAAATGACTACCATTTCTTTTTATTGTACTGAACGACGAAGAATCGTATTTCCATCTTCCTCAATCAATTTTTGATGTATAGTACTGAGACCCTGTATATCATAAAAATTCAAGATAAAATAAGTACATAAATTATTTGAATTAAAATATAAATGTATTATTAAGTTTAAATATTTAAACAAAATTATTAAAGATTTTAAAGATTTTAAATTTAATTTTTAAGAAAATATGATTATTTAAATACACCTTAAAATATTTTACTGTCTTCACACGTAATTCTAAAGTTGCATCCTCATCACAAACAATTATTGTACGTGGATGTTGTTGAAAAGCTGATACAGTCCACATATGATTAATACCTTCTTCTATTGCCTTATAAAGAGCAAATGCTTTATGAGAACCTGTAATAAGAATCATTACTTCTTTAGCATCCATCACTGTGCCAACACCAACAGTCAATGCTTGATTTGGCACTTTGGAAATATCATTTCCAAAAAATCTTGCATTAGCTTCTAATGTATCTTGCGCCAATGTCTTTACTCTTGTACGTGATGCTAAAGAAGAACCTGGTTCATTGAAAGCTATGTGACCATCTGGACCAATACCTAAAACATAACATTTTTTTATTCATATAAATTTTTTTATATAAATTTATTTATTTATTTCCATATAATAAAATTGCATACCACCAATAAATAATTCAATACCACCAGCTTCTTTAATTTTGTTTTCAAAATCATCACATTCCTTTATAAGATCAGGTGCATTACCATCAAGAATATGCACATTTTGTGGATCTATATCTATGTGCTTAAAGAAATTATTATACATATAATAATGATAAGATTCTGGATGGTCTCTGGGTAAATCAACATATTCATCCATATTAAAAGTTTTTACATACTTGAAGGAAATTTTTCCTGCTTTATAATATTCTATAAGTTTTCTATACATTCCCAAAGGTGTACCACCTCAAAAATAAATAATAATTATTATTTTAATAAAAATTTATTAATATTAAATTATAAATTTTCAGTTTACTTATATAAAAAATAAATACCTGTTGGGAGACCAAGAATAAAATATTTATTTTCATTTGGTTGAAAATCATTAATTCTTTTTAAAACATATTTAGCAGACCATTCTGCTACATAATCCACTGTATCACAGATTACTAAACGCATATTAAATTTATTTTATATTATAAAACTGAAAAATGTAAAATATAAAGAATTGTAAGATATGATAGAGAAAATATATAAAATAAAATTTAAACAATTCATAAATATAATATAATATAATATAATATTTCCATACTATAACTGATATTTTTATTTATTTTATAAATAATACAATCAGTTCTTAATAAAATTTATACGGATACCTTTATACTTATATAAAAAGACCTTATGACAACGACCTTTTTATCTGAACACACAGAAAAATGATATATACTTAAGTTTTACATTATCTTCATATTTATCTTTATACGAAATATTTCGTTTCATTGAAATAAATCAAATGCATTTTATTCTCATTTATTACTTTCTTTTTATTAATTTTTATTTTCCAAATCTTGCAAAGTTAACAAATACATTAAATATATTTAATATATTGTTTCTTTGTAGGAACTTTAATTTAATTACATTTTTATATCTTATGCGCGCTATGTTAAATACAAGAATGTTGGTCTTTCGTAGCTTATTTTAAAGGTCAATAACCATTGATCTTTATTAAAGCATATACGATAAATTTATTTAATAAATTTTAATATATTATTTTTTTTTAAATTTTATATTATGTCAAACTTAATTATATTTATTATAAAAAATTAAATAAAACACAATAAAAAGTGTACAAACCTGAAAAAAATTAAGAACTTCTTTTGCAATAATCGGTCAGACATCAGCTGATGTACAACTGACCTAATCTCGAGTCTTTGTTACTTTGCAAAAAATTTAATATTCCACTTATAGATATGCAATACTTGAAAATAATTTTTTTTATAAACTGAATGATAATTGATTGATACACAATTTTACTTATATTAAATATTACAAAAAGTGTTCATAATATATATATTTATAGAAAATAAAATCTTTTTATTTTTAATTAATTTAATAATTAATTAAAATTAATTTGGAAAATTTTTTTCTAAAAAAAATATCTTTCTTTCAAATAATATTTTTTTTAAAGAAAAAAAAAAAGAAAAATTAATTACATATAAAATTAAAGCAAATATAAATGATTGTTAGGTATATATACATTTTTAATGGCACCTTCCTTTAGAATCTGGCGGGAATGCATCGTCCATTGATGTTAACATTTTTAAATTGATATTTTTTGTATTATAAAAAAATTGAATTATATATGTCATAAAATTTATAACGATACAATGCCAGATGTGACAATTAATAATATTATTATAAATTTTCCTTTTAAACCATATTCGATACAAGAAGAATATATGGCAAAAGTGATACAATGTCTTCAAAATAGTAAAAATGGTGTTTTAGAATCTCCAACCGGTATAATTTAATCTTTTTATTATTATATACACAATTAGTAATCAAAATATTAAAATTAACTTATAAAAAATAGGTACTGGAAAAACACTCAGTCTTTTATGTTCTTCCTTAAGTTGGTTATTAACAAAAAAAGCTCAATTGCAAGCACAATCATTAGTGAATACAATTGAAGAACCCAATTTTGGTGGACATTTTTTCAAACAATTAAATAATGAACTCAAAAAAAGTACAGGAAATTCAGAACCTATTATTACTTTTAATTGGAATGCACCAAAAATTATTTATGCATCTAGAACTCATTCTCAGCTTTCACAAGCAATGCAAGAATTAAAAAGAACTTCTTATAAACATGTAGGCACAGCTGTATTAGGATCTCGAGATCAATTATGTATTCATCCAGAAGTTTCTAAAGAAACTAATAGTTCAAACAAGATATATATGTGTCATTCTAAAGTAAAGTCTAGAACATGTTTTTATTATAATAATGTTGAAAGCAGGTGCAAGATTATACTACTAATATTTTTTAATAGCTTTATTAAATTTTATTAATATATTATTAATAAAAATATATATATTTTAGAAAAGATGATCCATTTTTTAAACAAGAAATACTTGATATAGAAGATTTAGTGAAAGCTGGACAAAAATTCAAATGTTGTCCATATTTTTTATCCAGAGAACTCAAACAAAATGCAGATATCATTTTTATGCCATATAATTATATATTAGATACAAAATCACGAAAAATACAGGGTATAGATATACAAAATAATATCATTCTTTTTGATGAAGCACATAATATTGAGAAAATCTGTGAAGAAACAGCATCATTACAAGTATTAAATTAATTTATATTACAAATAATTAATTGAATTTAATAATATTGAATGTTATAAAAAATAAATTGATTTTTATAAAATTTTTATAGATATCTAGTACAGATATTGCAATGTGCATTGATGAAATAACAGTTGTAATGGAAGATATGGCTAAGGATATTGAACAACAAAATAATTTTTTAATGGAAAATTCAGAAAATGTCCAAAAAGATTTTACTGCAGATGATTTATGCATTTTGAAAGCTATGTTTTTGGAATTGGAAAAAGCTATTGATGCTATATCAATTGTAAAACGTGATGAAGGAGATACATTTCCTGGTGGATACATTTTTGAATTACTAGGAAAGGCACAAGTAAATAATTAAATTATATATTCTAATATAATTATATAATATATCAATATTTTTATATGATTATAAAATATCTAATATTTATTCAATAAATAAAAATAATAAATATATTTAACAGTTAACTCATGGCAGAGAACAACTTGTAATAGAAAAATTAGAGAAAATTATTTTTTATTTAACTACTACAAGCACTTCTCCATTTACAAGAAAAGGTAATGCACTTCAAAAATTCAGTGATTTGTTAAAAACTGCATTTAGTAGTGATAATAGTTTACTCTCTAAAGAAAAAATCAAACAATATTATAAAGTATATATACAATTAGAAGAACAGAAAAAATCAAAACAAACTGATATTTGGGAGAAAAAAAAAATACTTCCAAAAAATGAAGGCAAAATTATTAATTATTGGTGTTTTAGTCCTGGATTTAGGTAAATTTTAATTATATTATTGTATTTAGTTTTAAATACATTGATCTTTATATATTGATTACAATGATAAAGTATGCAACAACTCAAAAACCAAGGAGCACGTGCAATAATATTAACAAGTGGTACATTATCTCCTTTGAAACCTTTCATATCTGAACTTGGAATACCAATTGAAATTCAACTAGAAAATTCACATATTGTAAAAGAAAATCAAATTTGTGTTGGTATACTTAGTCGAGGTCCTGATGGTTATTTATTAAATTCTTCTTTTAATACAAGGTATTTTTATTATTGTTATATTATTAAATATATTTTTAAAAAATATTAATTTTTATAATATGTCATTTAAAAATTATAATTTATATTTAGAAATGATCCAAAATACATAGGATCCCTTGGACAAACAATATTTAATTTTAGTTGTCTTGTTCCTTATGGTTTACTTGTATTCTTTCCTTCATATCCAATAATGAAAAAATGTAAAGAAGAATGGCAAAATACAGGTTTGTGGACTAAAATTGCAGATCGTAAAGTAATTATCTTTAATATTTATATTAAAATAATAATACATAATAAGATATAATAAATTATAAAACTGATAAAACTATTTATTTATATATTAGCCTATATATGTCGAACCACAATACAAAGATGGTTTTATTAATGTTATGAATGAGTATTATGAAAAAATTAAAGATCCTTCATGTAAAGGAGCTATTTTTATGGCAGTTTGTAGAGGTAAAGTGAGTGAAGGACTTGATTTTGCCAATGCAAATGGAAGAGCTGTATTAATTACTGGTCTTCCATTTCCACCTTTAAAAGATCCTAGAGTTATATTAAAACAACGATATTTGGAAGAGATAAGAAAACAAGATAAAGAGGTAATTTAACAATTTATAAAATATATAGTAAAAATTTATTAAATATTTTTATTTTATATATATTATTTTTTAGACTTTATCTGGCCAACAGTGGTATCAACTTGAAGCATCACGAGCTGTTAATCAAGCTATTGGTCGTATAATACGTCACAAAAATGATTATGGGGCTATAATTCTTTGTGATCATCGATTTGATAACCTAAGTTTTAAAAAACAGTTATCTGCTTGGCTTAGACCTCATATAAAAAATTTTGCTTGTTTTGGTATTATTGTAAAAGAGTTAAAAGGTTTTTTTAGATATGCAGAACATACTGTAAGTTTAATTTTATAAAAAGAAAATACTTAAGTACTGTTCTATTTTTTAATAATTATTTTCAGTTTCCACAACCAAATATAATTAATATACAATCTACAAATAGTTGTGTTTCATTACCAGCAGTCTCAGCATCATTTGACACAACTGTATCACGAAACATAAAAGTTAATTCTAAAGAGGATATTGTAATATCTTCTGAAGATACTTTTACTATTGATACTTATATTAGTGAAGATAAGAAAAATAAGCAATTAACTGAAACAAAAAGAAAAAATTTGTTTGAACTTTTAGAAACAGAATCAAAGCCTATAATTAATTTTAGTGATTGTAAATTGAAAAGAAATTATATCACTTGTGAGCTAACAAAAAATATTAATGAACCAATTATAAAAAAAAGAAAAATAAAAATGTTGCCAATAGAATTTAATGAACATTTATCAGCCCCTTCAACTTCTTCATGTGAGAATAGAGAAGGTACAAGTAATATAATACATTCTCAACAAATATTAGAAGAAACTAGTAATAAGACTGATAAAAAAACTTTGGGCAAAATGTACTTAAAAGAAGTAAGTTTTTTTTATACTTTATATATATTTTTATATTTATATATATAATTGATTATAATTAATTAAAAGTATGTGATTCAAAAATTTTAATAATAAATTAATATTATAATAACATTTGCTTAATTATATATACATTCAAAAACTTAAGTATATATATATATTTCTTAGGTAAAACTTTCTTTATCAGAAACAGATTATAAAATATTTGCAACAATGATACAAGATTATACAAAAACAAATAATTTGGAAATATTATTAAAAATACTTCAAGATTTGTTTTCACCAAATAAAGGATTATTTCATTTATTTATAGGTATTTATATATATATATATATATATATATATATATATATTAATAAAATATATAAAGAAAATAAAATATATAAAATATAATTTCATATAAACATTATATAAAATTTATAGGATTCAAACATTTTATAAAAAAATATCATATTTCTGAATTTGAAAATTATATTACTCTTGTCACAAATACACAAAAAAAATCATAATATTAAACATTTAAAAAAAAATTCATAATATATTAATATTTAAGAATTATTATTAAAATAAAATTATTTAAGTAAGTATCAATGAATTATATTTTAAGTATTAATGAATTATATTTATTTGATATCTTTACTTTATTTTTATTTTATTAATATTTTAGATTAATACAAATTTACATCTATTTTTGGAAGCTCTTTTTTCAAGAGTGATTATGATATAATTCAATTGACTTCAGCTTAAAATTTGAAATTATCTTGATTATCTGATTGAGCTTTTAGGAGCTTTAAGAAGATCCCAATTTAAATTTACTTAAAACATGAAGCCATAATATTAAGGTAATCTGATTTAATACTATTCCTGATGTTTCCTGGTTTGAATTCTCATAATTTTTCATTGTTATTTTTGGAAGTTTATGTTTCAGAATTCTAGTTTAAATTCATATGAAATAATTTTGTAAATTGATTTTCCAAACTATTTTAAATTTTATATTTTTTGTTGGATATCTATATCTTTTTTTTTTTAATTTATTTCATTATATAATAAAATCATATAAAATATTGTCATAATTATATTAAATTTATATTTTAATTGTGAACATTTATTAGTTAATAATTTAAAATAATTTTGTATAATATATCATAAATTTTTTAATAAAAATTATATTTATAAATATGTAATTTTATAAAATAAAAATAGAATATTGTATGAAATATGTATCTGAAATATGTTTGATGTCAAAATAACCTTAAAATAATTACATTTACTTCAAAATATGGAATAAAATTTCATTACAAATTGATTTAATCTTCGCATATATATACAAATATATATTACATATTGGTTTTGAATACAATACTTAAAATAACATTTGAAACATATTAAAGCACCAAGTACAAAAAAATAAGTTGTAATTAATATTATCATAATATTACAGATTGAAAAATTAAGTTACAGTTAAATTATACGTAAGATAATGTTTGCATATGATTAGAAACGAATAATTAATATTTGCAATGTGTGAAAATATGTTTTTTCCTCTTTATGTATATCTATTACTTGTATAATTATAATATTATTTATAACTTATATTAACATCAGAATCTTTCTATATAACGTTTTTGTTTTTATATTTCAATATTCTTTTCTTTTTTGTTAGAAAACTTAATTTATGAAAACAAATGAAGTGTTACTTTAAGATATATATTACTTATTTTTTTTAATTAATGTGCTATTTTATGAACACATAATATAATGTTTCCCTTACAAAAATTGATTTAAAATCTTAATTGTTTTATAAGTCCATAGTATGAATTGCACTTGTATCTTTATTATTTTCAGTTTCTTTTTTAATAAGTGCATTGGTTATAATTTCTTGATAATATTCTCCAAATACACTTCGATTATGAGAAATAAGTATTAAGAATTGAGCTACTATGGCTGTTAATTCTTCTTGAAGTGATGAAAGTCCAGGTGGAACTTGTTGCGGTGCCGCAGATTGAGATAATATTATTTTTTGTAAAAATTGACGAATTCTCAGATCTATAAAAAAAAAAATACAAAAATATTATATAAAAATATATTTCACAGATTATAAATATATTTACTTATAAGATGTCTAATTTTATGTCCAGGATTAATAAGATCCAATATTTGTCCTTCCAATAATGATTCCATTTCTACAGATAAGAGAGTAGAACCAATTTCTCGTAATGTTGTTCCTAAGTCTGTTTTCACTTGCAATACAATATTTGGCATTACAGTTTCCAAGTCCCTGCCAACAATAAAAATTTAATTTATTTGATCCTATTATTTATTATAACATACACATACTGTTCTCTTACATACTTATTTGAATGTACAGAATCTAATAATACATTAAGATGTTGTTTAATATTTTTCTTAAAACTTGATACTCCATGAATTGGCGCACCAACTGTATTATTTACTAACAATATTATAGATCCTATAATACTTAATCTGCTGGTTTTATCACGCAATTCAAGTAATCTACCTTGATCAAGCATTAATGTCTGTGAATGTACATGTAAATAAAATTTATTTTTAAATCAATATTAATTCAAATAATTTAAAATAATAATAATTATATTATCAATAAAGAATTATACTTCTGCATCTGGATTAAAATCCCATTCTAAAAGATCAAGATATGCTTCAGTTAAAAGACAATGTGTAAGCTGGCGCACAGCATTAATATCAGATGAATTGCTTGTAATTTTAGTTGGGTCATAGTGCCTTAATAACCATTTTTCTGTGAATTGTAGACCATTTGTATTAACTTTTAAGAATTCAGCAAACTTGGCTTTTTCATATTCAATACTTGAAGCAACTATATTTGGTCTCATCATAGTAATAGTAAAATTTGCCAAATCAAGTCTCATTAATTGTAATATTTCCATTATGCCTTTAAATATTTCAATGACATCTGTTTTTTGATTAAGTTCTCGAATCTTTTCATCTCTTACAGGTGCACAAACTTTACTCATAATTGATATTACATATTGTGCATAATGATGGAAATCCAAAACACCATTTTCTGCTTGTTGTCTAATTAAATCTACATCAAGTATTTCTCTCAAATTTTCTCTAATTTTTGCATGATGTGGTAATACTAATTCATCTAATGTCTAGAAAAAAAAATTATTAAATATAAAATATAAATTAATATATATATAAATTATATATAAACTATAAATTATAAATTATTTCTTAAAATTTATATAAATACATTACTTCTTTAATTTCTTTTAATAAAACCAATGCCTGAGTGTAATTTGGAGGATCTTCTTCTAATTGCTCTGCTAATAAATTCCAGAAAGCCTTATGCATAATTTCTTTTACTCTTCTATGGAATGTACCATCATCAGGTTCAAGTTTTTGTAATTGAAAATTTTTATCCACTGCAATTTCATGTGCTAATGCCATATTTTTCATACCATTTGCAGCTTTTATAATTTCTTCAAGAGAAACAAATTTCGGGGGTGAAGCTCCTATTAATCCGCTTGCCATGAAATTTGTTGTTTTTTGCCTGTATATAAATATTAATGTCAGAAATAAAAATATTCATTAATTCAAGAATAATTAAATTCATGAATTACAAGAATAATTATATAATTTACCCTTTTACATTTTCTTCTTCCGATTCAATATGGGAATCAGATTGGTAATCTACAGGTACAGATGTACTAGCTTCATTTATATTGCATTTTTGTTTTTCATCATTTTCCATTTTTTGATTCCTACACATTAATACAATTATTATAATTTACATAATTTTTATAACATAAATCATAAATGTTTAAAAAATATATCTATTATAACAAATAATGTGATTTAAAGAAAGCACAAAACAATATCTTATAAAGATCTCTCTCTTAAAAAAACAAATTATTGTTAAAAAAAATAATATTAATTAATATTATCAATTAATTATTAAATATTTTATTTAAATTAAAAAAATGGAAAGATTATTTTTTATATAACTGTAATTAATGTATTAATATTAATAATATTAAAGAAATAAAATAAAAATTCTCATTACAGAAAGATACACTGACCAAAATAAAATACCAGAAATAAAATTTAACAGTGCCATTGATTCTGGAAGTTTGCGATTAATGAAGAAATAGCAGAGAATAATATCCCACATTACTCCAATACTAACCAAAACTTTATTCCTAATAAAATATCATTTTATCATATGTTGAATAATATTTAAAAATATCTTTAATATTATAAAATTTTATATAATTAATTTTGTCTATAAAATTTTTTCTCTTCAATTCAAGAATTAATATATTTAATGTATTATCTTATTAATATATACAAATAATCAATATATTAATATATAATTATTAATATATATATTTAATTTAATATATGTTATTAATACAAATTTAAAACTTATTTTTTTTAAATAAAATATATTATAAAAACAAATTCTTATATATCTCAAATAGTTTATGAAATTAAAAGATAAAATTAGAAACCTGTTCTTTAATAAATAAATTATTTCCATAGTCAGATAATAGAACATAATAATTTATATAATTATTATTATATATATAAATATATATATATATATACAGATAATATATATGATTGAAATATATTATATATAAAAAATATACCTATCTGGCATGATTAATATTTGATTTAAATGTTTTGTTGTAGCATGATCTGCATTCAGAAACAGCTGGTACTTAAATGCAATGGATATTGAAGAAAAGGAGGTCAAACTTTGTCTATAAAAAGAACGTCCACAAGGTACATATAAGAATAAGACTTCCTACTTGATTTTAAAAAATTAATATAATATTTTTATTTTTCAACATCCTATCTTAAACTTACATTTGTCATAATATGTGACATTATAACAATTTTTAATTATAATTTATTTCATATTTGCTAATATATTTTGTCATATTTATTGTATTAAATATAAAAACATATAAAAATATAAAATAATCTTTCTATTTAATTGATACAAGAAATAAATAAAATTTATATATATTTGTAAATTTTTAATTTAAAAATTGATATGTTATGATTTTATCTTATATTTAAAAAAATATAATTTTTGTACTATATCTTATTAGAAATGCATTTTTCATAAGAACTTAATTTATAAATATTTCGCCTATTTAATATTTATCAGAAATAATAATATTTACATATTGTATGAAATATTATTCTCAATGTAATTGATATATTTTCTAATTTAATACACATATTGATCTGTTTACAAACAAAATTAAATCTAAAATATAATATGAATTTTTTTTATCGTGTAATTATTTCAAAAAATCATGAAAGTAATTTATTAAATTTAATTATATCTGATCTTATTCGTAATTTAATTAGAAAAACATATTTACAGTTTCACTAAAAAAGTCGAAATGCGTAAAATGATATCTGACTTGATGCTTTACCAAAATATTTCAATTTTTGTCATAATACAATTCACATTTCTATTTTAAATTTATCAATAATTTTATATATAAATTATCATATTGAGAAATCAATTTTGTTCCAAACAATTATAAATTGTGTATTTACAACTTGTTAGGTTGATGTTCAACAGTGAACTTAGGTGTATATGATTTGAAATAATAGCGTCCTCTGTAAGTTGTTTTTTTTTATTAAATTTCGTGCAATTAATTTAATTATTAATAAAAATTATCTTTAATATTTTTTATATTTTTGTATTTATAAATATATATATTGTATAAAACATTAAAAAATAAAAACACTTAATATAATATTGAAAATGTTGAACACATTACTTAATTTAAAAAAATATATATTATTCATAAATAAAAAAAAAGCTAATTTCAAAATAATGATTAAAGAAACTATGAATACTTACATATATATAATAAATTAATAGAAAATTGATTGTGACAAATATTAAAATTTATTGTAAATTAATGTGCCATAATGAGCACAATGTCCAATGATATTACAACAATAATCATGTCTTAAAAATTTCAAGGTATACATGAGTCTTTTTTGGAAATAATATGACTCATTGTTGTCCACCTTGAATTTCAAAAGTTATATTGATACATGAATTTATTTAAATCTTTTATTATATAAAAATAATAAAAATTTAATGATTATTATTTTTATTATTTTTAAAAAATTTATATGATAAATATAATAAATAAATTACTTCTATCATAAATATATGATATCTTGTTAATCTGTTATTTACAATTGTTCTTTAATATAGATTCCAAAATATAAGTTATTTTATTTAATCTATATCATAGTATTATTAATTGATAATATTATAATAATAATAGTTAATAATAATAGTTAATACTTCTATTTTTATTACTATATTATAAACTTTGTGTTATTTTTTATTTTTTATTTTTTATTGAATTCAATATGTGTGTATATGTTACATGCAATATATATGTATATGTATGTATTCAGTTATAATGTGCATTATTTGAACTAGAATGAAGTTGCATCATTGTTACTACGTCGTATGCGCAGCTGTCATTCGTTATAAATTGAATTTGTAATGCAAATTTTAAGATATTTACAAATTTTTTTCACATTGCAAGAAAAATTTCAGAGAAAGTGTTCAAAATCAATGTATGGTAAATACGATAATTCGGTTGTTCAAGAAATTTGGTAATGGAGTGTCCCGTGTCATTCAAGTATAAAGGGAAAACTGTAGAGCGACTTCCAGTCGTGCGTATGGATAACAGAACCGGCCACACGCGTTACCTCCATATTGCGTAAGGCCATAATTGGCCCTTCAAAAATGTTAAGTTACGGTAGAGTTATAAGACGATTGCCAAAACTTACAAGGCATTCACATGCTAATCACTTTTGTCGACCTTTAAAATATATTGGTAAGTTTTAATACACTGTATTTTTAAAAATATAATTTTTTTCAATTTATATAAATTTTTTTTTGCTTAATTTTTTATTATTTTTGAATTAAACATTAAATTAATTCTTTGTTTCTTGTTTTAATTATTATTAATAACAATAAGATTTGATAATTGTATATATATCTTCAGATAATAATAGTTTTTAATTGATATTTTGTGTTAAATGTACGGATATGTTTGATTACAAGGACACCACGCGATATAACCTCAAATTTGAATAGTGATTAAACTTTATCAATATAATTTTTTTATAAGATGAAATTTTTTATTGATGAAAATCTTGCCAAACTAAAATTAATATTTTTCTTATCGCTTATTATTAAATTAAATAATAAAAATTATTTTATGAAACATGTTTTTGTAATTCAAACAATTAAATATATTTTAACAATATTAAAAAACATATCCGTACATTTAACAGAAAATATCAATAAAAAACTAATAACAAAAATTTGCGTTCTATCCTTGTTAATGAATATTATGTTAATAAATATGATGAAATTATTTATAAAAAATCTTGTTTTCTTGATTTTAGGAATTGTCAGTGTTCATAATTTATTCTATAGTAATTATACAAATGACAAAACATATAAACCTTCAGGAACTACTATAAAACCTGAAGAATGTGTGCCTGAAAGTAGATATTCCAAAGAAAAGAGAAGTGTTCCTTTATGTGAATCTCATCCTAATGCATCTTGTCCACCATCTTGTTATGAAGTTTGCGGAAAATCAGATGATTCTCAAAAACCAAATGACAAAAAACCATCACCACCATATTGGAAGATATTGGCAACTTTAATCATAGCAGGAGTTGCAATATATGCGGTATTGATAATTTTATGTCACATTATTTCATCTTCATTGCTAATTATATTCAAAATAATATAAATTAAAATTATTATATATAATAAATTATAATAATATAATGTAATGAATTTTTTCTTTATTTAATATTTTTTAATATTTTTAATTTTTAAACATTTTATAGATATCTTCTACAAATTGGTTTACTACAAAAAAATCTGATTCTCAAAAGGATGTAAGTAAGAGTAAGTTGAATAAAAACTTGTTCCTATAAGATGTTTTTTAAATTTTAAATATCTAGAAGATTAATTTGTTTTTATCTCACATATTTAGGAAGAAAAGAAAGAAGTAGGAAATCACTTGAAAAAATTAAATCACCCCCTACTTCTAAATCATTCCCTTCGGAAATACCTTATCTTTTAATAGGAGGAGGAACAGCTGCATTTTCTGCATTTAGATCTATTAAATCTAAAGATCCTAGAGCTAAGGTATTTTGTAGTAATTTTTTTCCTTTATTTGCTAAAATTAGAATATAATAATATAACTAAATATTTTCTTCAGGTTTTAGTAATATCAGAAGAAGATTTACCATATATGAGACCACCATTATCTAAAGAACTTTGGCGTAATAAAGATAGAAAAATATCTGCACAATTACTTTTCAAGCAATGGAATGGTGCTCAAAGAAGGTAATAATTAAATAATTATTCATATGATCAGAAATTTATATTAGTTTTTTATGTTAGTGATTGATTATGTTATATTTATAGTATATTTTATGAACCACCAGAATTTTATTCAGATGTCAGTAAATTGAGTCAGTCTGATAAAGGTGGTGTGGCTGTTGCTAAAGGTTGGAAAGTTACAAAAATTGATGTTCCAAATAAAACTGTGATGCTTGATGATGGTTATGAAATAAAATATGACAAGTGTCTTATTGCAACTGGTAAATATAATTAATTTATATACAATTTCCAGATTTATATTTTAATTAATATTAATTATTTAGAATATATTTTAATTAAAATATATTTGTAGGTGTATCACCTAAAAATCTTCCAGTTTTTGAATCATTGCAAGATGATCTTAAAGATAAAATTATTACCTTCAGAAGAAAAGAAGATTTTCTTGATTTAGAAGAAGCTGTATATGATCCAAAATATAAAAATATTGTAATAATTGGTGGAGGATTTCTTGGATCAGAACTTGCTTGTTCATTGGCCCAAATCTGTAAGATTTTATTGTTTATTATTATTAATAATATAAAATCATAATATTAATTATAATTATTAGTATTATCAAATTAATAGCAATTATTAACCAAACTAATAATAATTATATTTTTATTCAGTACCGGAAAATAAAAATGTATATCAAGTATTTAAAGAAGCATTTATAATGGATCAAGTATTACCTCAATATCTCAGTGAATGGGCAACAAAAAAGGCAATATTAGAAGGTGTTAAATGTATTGCTAATTCTGAAGTAGAAGATTATTCTTATAAAAATGGAAAATTGTCTCTCATTCTTTCGGATAATCACATTGTATGTTTTATTTGCATTTCTATAAAAATATTGAAAATAGTACAATAAATACATTTTTTCTTTTTTTTACATGGAAAGATTGATGCTGATCAAGTGGTAGTAGCAGTAGGTGTTGAACCAAATATTGATTTGGCAAAAGCTTCGCATTTAGAAACAGATCCTGAAATAGGTGGTTTTCTTGTTAACGCGGAGTTAGAAGCAAGGAGTAATCTTTGGGTTGCTGGAGATGCAGCTTGTTTTTATGATATTAGACTTGGTAGAAGAAGAGTAGCACATCATGATCATGCTGTAGTTTCAGGAAGATTAGCTGGAGAAAATATGACTGGTGCAAGTAAGTTAAAATTTTGATATGTTAAAAATGATATATTGTATGTTAATAATAAATATAAAAAAAAAAAAACAAAATTCATATTTTTATATTCATTAGGAAAACCATATTTACATCAGTCAATGTTTTGGTCCGACTTAGGGCCAGAGGTTGGATATGAAGCAATTGGTATTGTGGATTCATCACTGCCAACTGTAGGAGTTTTTGTAAAAACAGACTCGGATACTACAAAAGCATCTGCTAATGATACATATGAATCTATATGTTCAAATAAAAAGGTAATGAATAATTTATTAAAAGTTATAAATATAATTTATTCTTTTATGGTTTATATATTTATACATAATGATTTTTATATTTTATATTTTTAAAATATAGAAATTAAATTCAAACGAAACACAAAATCCAATAGAATCAAATTTAGAAGAAAATGATAAATCTATATCTCTTGATGATGATAATTCAAAACCTAAAAAATATGATGATTTTGCGAAAGGAGTTATTTTTTATCTACGTGATGATATTGTGGTTGGCATAGTTCTTTGGAATATTTTTAATCGGATGTCTATCGCTAGGCAGGTGCGTTTATTAAAATTCACATAATACAAAACACTTTTTGTGGAAAGTGCTATTTCATGTGTTATTTTAAAAAATTAATTTCTCTTATGACTATTACAGGTGCTCGCTAGAGGCACAAAATATGATGATTTAAATGAAGTAGCAAAACTGTTTACTATTCATGATGACTAAACTAATAACATAAAAACTACATGACTATATTGTGTCATTGTATTACTGTACATAATGTTATTTATCTATCAGTTCTGAAATATTTTACAAATAAAAAAAAAGTCTATTATTGATATCTTATTCTTGAGTTTAAGAGGTACGACTTGTATAAATATTACATATAAGATATTTTCAAGTAAAATCTATAAATAAAAATATTCTCTCTTTATAGACAATGAAATATGTTTATTAAACTATTATTAGATGTGAATTTTATTAGAAAATAAATGATGATAAATATTTTCTTAGTTATTTAATTAAAGTTTAATATCATTTTTACAATAATTATACATATATGTATATATATATATATATATATATATATATATATATATGCATGTATACAATATTCATAGATGCTCACAATTTATTTAAATTAATATTTTAAAAAATTACTTTATATAGTAATGTTCAGTTTCGATTTTTACGTGCAAACATTTTTTACGTATCAATTATATTTCTTTTTTATTAATAAATATTCATTAAAAAATGAAAATTTTTATTATTTATATAACTATTTTTTATATTTCATTTTTTTAGTTGAATCCTTTAATTAAAAAATTAGGTAAAATTTTATTACTATATCTTTTATCTAATGAATCCATAAATCTAATATAATTATGACATTGATAATCATCCAAAACCTAAATAATATAATATAAATTATATGTATTTCATATATATTATATAATATATTAAATATATATAGTACCATATTTTCTGGCCATAATTTTCCACTTGTTATATTTTCCATTATTCGAAATTGACAATGATATAGAAGTGACGTACAATAGTATATTATGTAATCAGGAGAAAATAAAACACAAATTGTAAAAAAATGCATAATTTGAGGCCATGGAAGTAAACCCCAAAAGCATTGAGATATCATTAAATTACATATTAAGGACCAATCCACTCCAGAACTATTCTATATTGCAATATAAATTAATTAATAAAAGATTTTTAGTATTAAATAATTTTGAAATTTATTTTTCAATATATACCTTGAGTGCAAATTTAATATGTGGAAGTTCATTGCTAATAATACTTTCTAAAAATTGCATAAATATATATTGAGTGGCACATTCTTGTTTAGTATACTTATCTATAACTTTACCAAAATTAGTCCACAAAAAGGGAATTACCGGGAAATGAATTAATTGTGTAATAAACATTTTACATCTGAAATTAATTATAGTATGTATTATCATATTAAAATTTAAAAGGTCGATGATGATAAATAACTATCTTATGCGCATTTTTATTGCAATGATGACCAAGTTTTCAACCTGAGACCTGCTAATGATGATACATTGACTAGCTAGAGTTGCCCTATATTATTTTTCTTGAAAAAATATTAATAATTTCAATATTTTGTTCAAAAATGTTTAAATAGTTTAAAAATACAAAAAATATTTTTGACAAAATTTGAATTTGCTAGTAAAGGGTATATTCGCGGTCAACTGAAGCAATAAGAAATAAAAAAAAATTATCTAATAATTATAAAAATCTAAAATAAAGTTTATTATTAAAAATTTAAATTTTTTGTAGCAATTTAATGTATACCTGTTCATATCTCCTTTACAAATGATAAATACTGTAGATAGAAACCAATCAAAACCATCAAATTTTGTTGGTCTTTCGTAATGTATAAATGCATGACATTCATTTATAAATTTTTTTAATTTTTCTTTCATTTCAATTGTGTTTTCTAAAATATCATTTTGTTCTGCGTAATACAAAGCTAAATTAATCCCATGTATTTCTTCTGCAAACCAAAAATCTGTATTTGATGATATATTTTCTTTCCATTGAAAATTTTCTCCCCATTCTGCAGTAGGAATTGCTTTTTGCATCTGATCCACAAGTTGAATTAATACTGTATTCTAATAAAAAAAATTTATTTTGTGAGATTATAATAAGATATAAATTTTAAACAATTTAAAAAAATGTTAATCTATTTATTAAGTATAAATAAAAATTTATATATACTTTTATTGGATCTAATGATATTATATATGCTTCTCTAATTTGTTCAACCCAATTAATATCTAATAATACTGATTTATTTTCTCGAAGTAAAATTTCTAATTCAGTATCATACTCAGTTTCTGTGGATGAATTTTCTTTGTTTAATTTCAGAGGAGGTAGTTTTGGTAAATCATATTCTTCTAATTTAAAAGTTTCTTCTTCGTCTTTACTTTTAATAAAATATGTTTTAGATATAATTTTATGTCGTATTAATGTATAATTATCAATATATCTAGTATCTATTTCTTCATTTATAATTTCTTTTGTATCAAAATTTTGAAATTCTAACAAAATATTCTAGAAAAAAATGTTATAAATATTATTATAAATTATATTAATTTCAAAGAAATGAAAATTAAAATATTTTAAATTAATTAATTAAAATAATATATTACCTGAAAATTTAATAATTCTAATAAATATAAACAAATATTTAAATTCCAAATTACAATATTTAATGATAAAAGTCCTAAGTAATGATAATTTGATTCAGGATTTATTAAATTATTAAATAATTGTAATAAATTAAGTGGATAATTATGTTCTTCATTATTGTATGATTCTTTTACATTTGACATAAATGCGCAAAAACCTGTAAAATAAACAAATAATTATTTAATATCAGTAAATTATATTTTCAGTCAAAATAATGTAATGAAAAATTTTTATTTTTATTCGTACATTTAAAATTAAGAGAAAAAATACTTAATATATGTAAAAATTTTTGAATATTTTCATGATCCCATGGGTCATGAAAATAATGTGGATCCTGTAATACTTTACATGTCTCTGAAAGTAAGTTAGACAAAACATGGGGTGCCAAATTAGCAATTACATCATATCCCAAGTGAAAAAAAGCAGCAGATGATACAAAATTAACTACTTCAATTGATGTCCAAGACATTCTTAAAGGTGCAATAGATCCTTCAATTAATTCTTGAAATACTGATGATTCTTGAACAAGAGCTTTCAATCCAAATGGAATAGATACCATTTTAATCAATAATGTATTAACTGCACTGCAAATTATATTTTTTATATTCTATTTTATTCATAAAAACAAATTGTATATCAGTAAATTACCTATTTATCTGTTGAGCTTTATTTTCATTTTCAAAATAAGATTTATCTAATTTCTTATAAAAATATGACACAGCAGGATAAAATTCTTTTTCTATTTTATATTGTATTGTTTCATATGCATCAAATATATCAAATAACTTTTGTATTACATCAAATAATTCAAAAAGATATTCCATATTTATTAAAGATAAAGGTTGTCTTAACATATTTGAGGCTATTATTATAATAAACATAGCTGGACATTTTGATATACTTTTTTCAAAATTTACTGTATGTTCCTTGCATTCTGAGATAAGAAATAAAGAACCATCTATTGTGTCTAACATATGAAGAATAATTTTTAATGTATGTGGCCATATTTTAATATTATTTTCAGAAAAAGATGATAAATGACACAATGCAATATGATAAAATTCATAATCATACAATATTGTTGGTTTATCTAAAATAAATTGTAAAGCAAAACAAGAAACATTATATACACCACTTACTGTTTCTACAGATAATTTATTTAGAGCTCTCAAAGAAGCACTTAAAAATTTAGAAACTGAAAATGGAATGATTAAAATATTTTCTATTAAAAGTTCACGACCTGCTTCATAAGCACAAAGTTGAGACACAAAACATAAACAGTGAAGATAAGTTACTGTTTCTATTGTATTTCCATTAATAATAACTTCCATTGGATCATCATAAATAGAAATTGCTATAGAATGAGGAGGCTCTCCTAATCCTTTTTGTACATAATGCATTACTTGTTGTAATAAATTTGGTGATTTTCCTAAAGCAGTTAAAAATATTTTTCTAGTAGCAAGATTTACAATCCATTTTTTACTCCAATCAGCACATGGTTCTAATACAGAAATAATATTCAGTATATTTAATGTTTTTTGCTGCATTATATTTCCAGATACATGTGTACTCAAAAATGTAATAAATTGTTCTATTAATTCTTCTATAGTTTTATCAGGACTTCTTATATTTTTCAGTTTTTCTTCATGATAATGAATTATTAAATGTATGATACGAAATACTCTTTCATGTAAAAAAAATTTAAAATTAATTCCAGAAATTAGTGTAGGTAAAATCTCAAATGTCTTTTGTGAATCATATTGAAAATCAAAGGCATTTAACAAATTGATATATACATCGTATGATTGTAAACAAGTGATCAATTTTGCATGTACTTGTAAACTAGCTTCAAAAATAGGTTTACTTTCGTCTACAAGACCTTTTAATAAAGCTTCTTGAAGTGAATCCCATATAGGATTATTATTTAAATTTGAAAGTTCACTTTTTAATAAAATTTCATAACCAGCTAATCTAACATGAATAGGTTTATCTTGATTAATTTTATCAAGAATAACATTATAATATTCATCATTATTTAATGGAGAATTCCAATCTTCACTTGTTTGATCACTGATGCAAGAAAAGGACGATTGAGGTCGAGAATCAGAAATTATAGTTGATTCAGATCTCGAAGCAGATTGTTCAAGAATTGTAGCTTTCATAGAATTTACTAAAATGGACATTTCCTTTGAACGTATAATATTTTGAGCTATATTAACATTATTTGTATCTTCTTTTAATGATCTTTGTATATTATTTTCAAATTCTCTTTTTAAACATTTTTTTATCCACTTTTGAAGATTTGGAGAAATATTGCCTTCCATATTCATAAAATAAATAAATCTAATTATATAATCGTGTTTAAAGGATTATAATAATCATAAACATACATGAAATAATTATTTAAAATTGTAATGTTTTGACTGAGTTTCTATGGTTACTATCTATTATATATATATATATATAGAATACATATATAGAATACAGATATAGAATAGTATAGTATAATAAATAGATATAGTATACTACAATAAAAATTTAATTTCATAATACATGTCATATATATGTTTTATTTATATACTTATATATTATATACTTATTATTTATTTCATTATTTATAATTTTAATGATTGGAAATTTAACAATAGTAATCTCATAAAAATAAAAAAATCAAACTATTAAAACATATAAATAAAATTAATATTTATATATATACAAATTTTATAATTTTCTAATATAGAAATAATTATTAATTATTTTAATATAATTTATATTAAAAATTGTTAAATACCTATACAAATATATATATATTTTTTATATTATATATATTATATTATATATATTATAAATATCATTTTTTAACGCACTGCTACTATAACATTTGGAGATTTCGCCCGTAAAGCAGAAATTCCTCCTTGTAAAGAACATACACCCATAATTCCACATTTTACTAAGAAATCTGCAAACTACAAAATTTTTAACTAAAAGTCTTATATAAAAGTCTTTATAAAAGTCTTAATCTTAATATTGAAAAATATAAATTTCATAATAATATAAATTTCATAATATAATATTTACCAATGCATTATTTTGATCATGGGGTCCAATAATTATGACAATACTATTTTTATTTTCTACGAGTGGTTTTGCATGTGATCCAAGGGTTTCAATATGAGTTAAAGAAAGTTGTACACTTGTAAATGGAATATTAATACTACCTATTACAGCACCTCTTTCAAATCTATATAAAAATAGTAACTATTATATAGAAAAAATAATTTGGAATAACTATAATTTTTTTGTAAAATACTCACTGTATATTATTACGTACATCTACAGCTATCAATTTCTCAGGACTATTATCTAATAAATCTAAAAAATCATCAACAGAAATTCTAGGCATTTTTTCAGTCCCAGGTTCTAATTCTGACCAATTTATATTCTGTAAAAAAATGTTTAAGAATTTTTTACAATTTATTATTATTTATTATTTAATTTATATAATTATAGCAATAAATTATTAAAGAATACATATAAATATATCATCATAACATATTAATTTATACCTTTGGTTGATTAAATTGATGTTTTCTATAAGTAATACTAGGTGGTGTACTTTGATACATCATCATAGAATCTTTAACACATAATTCTATATCGATTTCAGGAAGATCAGAAAATAAAAGAATACATTCATTAAAACCTGAAGTTAAAAGAGAATCTCGCAATTGTTTCAATATAGCTAATCCAACAAGAAGTGGAAATGAAGAATCTCCTAATAAGAGTTTATCCCATAAATGGAGTATTTTGTGAAGTGGAAAAACATCTAAAATAAAAAAATTAAAAAATGAAACAAAAACAGTAAAAAAAATTTTACATAATTCGAGTAATAATAAGATAAATAACTTACGTGAAAACATTGTTAGAAACCATGGAATAGCAAATAATTCTGGTACAAAATTAATTGATCTAAGATGATTAGCTAATTGAGGGTCATGAAAAGCTATAATTTGTGAAAATTTTCCTAAATATTCTTGTATAACAGCTGAATTATCTTTTAAGAAGAATTTGTGAAGATATTTTGGTATAAATGCAGATAAACATTCAAATGCTCTAGCTGAAATTACAATATATAATAAATAATATATACTATAAATATAATAACTATAATATATATACTATATATATACTATAAATATAATATAACTATAATATATATATATACTATAAATATACTTTGTGATATATTTAAATTAATACCTTCGTTATTAAAGTTAAGATAAAGAAATGGAGCTGTTAAAGAATCTAATCCTTGCCAATAAACATAATGAGGATTATTTCGAACCCATGCTTTGAGTAATCTTTGTAATCTCTCATGACCAGCACCAGATGACAATAATTCACTATATTGATGACATCTTGGTATATCTACTTCTATCTATATAAGATATTTTTAACATGTTAAAAATAAATAATTTAATGTTATTGTTAATTATTGTGAGATTAATTACTTGTCGATCTGTATGAGTTGGTGTTTCTTTATCAATCATATCATAACGTTTTTGAATATCACCAGTAATACCAAGTAATGCTGCCCAAACAGCTCCTCTAACAGGTGGTGGTATATCTTTATGTGCTTCTTTAATGATTACTTCTCGTGTAATTGGATATACCTAAATTATAAATAAATAAATATAAAAAAATACAAATAAATACGAAATATTTTACTATGTAAATTTTAATTCATAATTTATAATAATAATATGTATTTTTTAATATGTAATTTTATATATATTAAGTTCAAAAAAAATATATTTTTAATTTTTCTATGAAAAATTACTATTTTTAAATTACCTGTAGCAATCTATCATATAAAACAATTCTATAAAATTGATATTCTGTATCTCTTTCCCTTATGATTAAAGGTAACTGAGAAGCAGCATCTATTAAATCTTCTTGTGATTGAACATGCATTCTATAAAATAATTAACAAATCATTAAAACAAGACAAAAAAAAAATGAAATTTAGATTTATATTTATTGTACTTACTGATTTGTTAACCATGGATAATTTGCAATATATGGAATATGAGATAAACGTTGACGTAATGTATCAAGAGGGACTTTAACAACACGTAAATCAAGTAAACCTGCTGTATCTCTCCTTCCAAACATTTGACCTAAAAGTATTACTAAACTAAAAAATGAATTAATAAATTATATTTTATTTTAAAAAAATAATATTACATAAAATAATATAATAATTTATTAAATTATTAAATTTATAGTTACTTTGGAATGGATAAAATAGGTGGTCTTGATCTGATAAGTCCTTGTTTCTTTAATTCTACAGTAATATCTCCTCCTGCTAATTGCCATAAATAATACAATTCATCCATTTTCCTAACAATTACATTTTTATATAGACTTTTTTTCTTTTCTTTTTCATTTTTTAATAAAAATTCGTCAAATATTGGCAATTTTAATAATTCTTCTGGTATTTTGCGTTTTGAAGGATGAATTTGAAGGCAAGAATCTATAAATTCTTTTACTTTATCAGGTAAATCCTATTATAATAATAAAATATTACAATTACAAAAATAAATATGAAATGTCAAATATAAATGAAAAAAATTACCTTATATGTGTTATAACAATTGGTTTCTCTTGCAAGACGTTCAAATACAGAAGTTTCACAATGAATGAGACTAAGAACCTTTCGTAAACATTGGGATAATTTTACACCTGACCATATTGATTTTGTCAATAGTAATTCTGCAATAATTATTCCTAAAGACCAAGAATCTACTTTTGCACTACTGACACCAGGACTTAAAAATACTTCAGGTGCTGTATATTTTGGATAACTAAAAATAAAATGCACTATACATTTAAGAAATACTTGTTATTTATATTTTTTTTTTTATCTCTAAATATTTAAAATCACAAATTTAAAAAATTATATTAAATCTATATTTTTAAAATTATTTGTTTTAAGTTTTAAGTTTTAAGTTTTATTAATACATACCCAATAGGAAAAGATACATTTTTTCCATTATCTGTCATATAATATAAACCAAAATTATATAACTGCACATTTCCACTTTTATTAATTAATATATTTTCAGGACTTAAATGTCTATGTACTAAATTTAACATATTCATATGTTGTAAACCTAATAAACATTGAAATGCTATTTTTATAATATTATCTATATTTAAATTTTGTTTGTTATTCAATGGGTCTCCATTATATTCTGCAACCACTACTATGCGTTCTATAAAAATAAATTTTAATTAAATAATTATATGGAATATTATTTATTTTTTAATTTTTTAAATTTTTACCATGTTTACTTCTAATTATGTCAAGATATGTAGATAAATTTGGATGATGAACAGTTTTTAAAAATTGAGATTTTCCATAAATAGTTATTGAATTTGGTGTAAGAGGTAAACCATTACTACCACAAACTTCGACTGGATGACTTTGAGCAAAAAATGTCATTCCACCAAAACATCGTTCTTCATTTTCTAGAAGTGCTGGACACATTTTTGACTATAATATAATAAAATAATAAAATAAAAATACATTTTAGATCATCACTAAAATAATGATTAAAAAATTAATTTAATTTTTTAACAATACAAAAAATTTAAATATATTATATATTTTTTTTATATATTTCTTTTTATATATTTTATTATATATTTAAAAATGCTATGTATTATAATACTATAAAATGTACGTACTTGATTTATTTATAAATTTTTATAAAATTTGAATATAGTTAATATTTACATGATTAATTTTATTTTATTTATTTAACTTATTTATTATTTATTTAACACTTATGATATTATATTATAAGTTATAAAAATATGTTTAATTATTTCTTTAGAATTACATTTTTTTATAATTATTTAAAATTAACTAAATTATTTAAAATAATCATTTATGATATGATTATAATTTTTATCAATGATCTATTTATCAATGCTGTTTATAGAAAAGAAAAATAATATTCACTTCATCTGGATATATCATTTCTCATTTTTTATATATAATTTGTTAAAACAAAATATCATTTGCTTGTAATATATAATGATTATACATTAATATAAAAATAAAAAAAATATAATTTATTATATTAATTATTAATAATTAAAGAAAATTTTTTGGCAAAAATCAAATAATTATTTAAATCTTTCATTTATTTTTATTTTATCACGGATAATAATAAACTAAATCTCTGGAAATAAATAAATTAAATCATATTGTGATATTATGATTTCACCTATTAGTATTTAGTATTAAGATAATATTTAGTGTTATATAAAATACAATAGTCTTGACATCAGTTCTTGCCATTTTAATTGCTTATTTTCATGAAAATGGATTTCTTTTTCTATTTTATTTAAAAGATTTAATATTATTTTATTTGTGTAATATTTTTTTTAAATGAAAAATTGATATTTAAAATTGCTAATATATTTCTTTTAAATTTTAATCATGTTTTATATCATATACTCTTTTTTGTTATAAAAAAACAGCAAAGAATTTTGAAACTACAAATGCGCCATCTATAATACCTTTAAGAAATATAAGTAGAAATTTTAATATGATATCTATCTAGTAAATATATATTCTTTTCACTTGATTTTACTTGTCCACACTATTACATTTCTTTCTGATTTTAGTCAGACAAGTGGATAGTCGAGTGATTGTAATCTGTGTATAGAGATATAATGACGTGAGTATTTAATCTGTTTATATTTTAAAAATCCAAAATTTTATATTTTTAATATTATAAATAATATATTTTTTAATATATCTTTTTAATATAATTATTAGTATTTTCTTTAAATAATTATTCTATTAAATGTTATATTGTAGTATTAATACTTCAAAACGTATGGTTCCACGTTGTATCATAAATTCATAAATATTTTTTTATAAAATCAATCTTAATTATTTAAAAATTATTTATATAAATATAAGTAAAAACATATATTTAAATTACATTTTAACAAATTAATGTAATTTTTCTCTTTCTGTTATAGCAAAAAATTAATTTTTTTTTATTTTTTTTTTTATAATTTTTAATATAATTTTAAATTTTTCAACTTATGTACATATTTTGTGTATTCTATAAATTATAGTGTGGTACAAAAAAATATATAATGATTTTAAATTTCTGATGTAATAATTTTAATGAATAGGTCCAAAGTATCGCGTGATACTCTTTATGAATGTGTGAATGCTGTCCTCCAACACTCACAAGACAAAAAAAGGAAATTCTTAGAAACAGTGGAGCTCCAAATTGGATTGAAGAATTATGATCCACAAAAGGACAAACGTTTCTCAGGCACTGTCAAGTATGTTTTTACCTGACATGGAGGATTCCTTTCGGTTTTTGATGATTCTTAAATCTATTTTTCTTTTTTTCTTTTTTTTAATTAATGTCCGAAAAGATTACCTCATATATAGTCAGGAAGCTGGGTTTCACCTAGCGGACCTTTACCCAGGGTCTTAAATAAATTGGGGAGGTATTTTACCTTTGTTTTTATTCCAGGATCATAACTTATGATCCTACAGGTAAGTTAATATTTGATTGTGGCAATTATTTATTCAATTTAATTAATGAAATTAATGTTCAGTGATGATAAATTATATATTGCATGTATTATCTGAATAATTTATGTTGTTCTTCAATAATGCCACTGAGAACATTGCCTTTCATATATGTATTTTTATTTTTGTATAATTATAATAATTTTAATTTTTATTTTTTCAATATTGTTATTTCTTATATTAATAATATATTATATTAAAATTATGAGTAATAAGCAATTTTCATTCAAAATTGTTTATATATATATATGAGTATTAATTTATATATGTTATATTATTAAAGGTTAAAAAATATTCCAAGACCAAAAATGCAAGTTTGTGTTTTGGGAGACCAACAACATTGTGATGAAGCTAAAGCTAACAATATTCCATATATGGATGCAGAAGCATTGAAAAAATTGAATAAAAATAAAAAACTTGTGAAAAAACTAGGTAATCAAAAATTTTTTATTTTATATATTTATTTTTTTTTTATGTATTATTCTCTTATTTTGTCTTCCAAAAAGCACCATTGTTAACTTATAATTTTTAACACTGGTTGTCGAATGGAAGAAAATTAAATTCTTCACTTGGTGAGGACGTTGTGTTTCATTACTTCGTATCCTCAATCCGTGTTGAGACATTTTTTTTAAATTAATTTTATTATTATTATTTAAAAATTAACTTATGTAATTTTTTCAGCCAAAAAATATGATGCTTTCTTAGCTAGTGAATCTTTAATTAAACAAATTCCACGTATTCTTGGTCCTGGTCTAAATAAAGCTGGTAAATTTCCTGGTCTTCTTTCTCATCAAGAATCAATGGTAGGGAAAATTGATGAAGTGAAAGCTACAATTAAATTTCAAATGAAAAAGGTAAATCTTGTTTTATATTTATTGTACTATTGTATTATAAATCCTTAAAATTACAATTTTTAATATTTTTTTTAAAATATAATATGAAAAATTTTGTTGTTTTTAGGTATTATGTTTGTCAGTAGCTGTAGGACATGTGGAAATGACTCCAGATGAACTAGTACAAAATGTACATCTTTCAATTAATTTTTTGGTTTCATTATTGAAAAAACATTGGCAAAATGTGCGTTCTCTTCACATTAAATCTTCAATGGGACCTCCTCAAAGATTATATTAATGTAATTGGTATAATAATATTTCTCATGCATAATGAAAAAATAAAACAAGAATAAAAGTGTAATATATGGTGTTATTTATTATATAAAATTTCCCATTTGATTTTTGTAAATAATAAAATTTAATAAAATTTATAAATAAATCAATGTAATTAATAAATCGTATTAATACATAATTAATACATCAAAAATTAAATTTTATAAATTTACCAAAATGAAATATTCTAATACAATACATCATAATATATAACATTTTATATAAAAATAAAATTAGGTGATAAAATAAATTTCATAGTAGACGTTGCGAATATTAAAAATTTCATATTATTTGATTTATATTTTTTAAAATATTTATTTGTAAATTATTAGAAAATTCGAATATCAATTTTTTGCAATTTACATTTTTTCATGCTAAAACTAATATTACAATTAATTAGAAAAAAAAAAAATTGTGAAAAGCATGAATTTAAAACTATCATAGATATTCAATTAAATAAAATAAGGTATTTATTCATTATTATTGAATTTGTACATATCATAATCTTAATTAATGATGAAATAAATTTTTATAAATAAATAAATTATATACATTATCTTAAATAACATATATATATTTTGTGCTGCCAATGTATACATGTAATTTATTTATATAATATATATTGCTAAATTATTTTTGTTTTTATACACAAAAAATACTAGTATAATTGTATAAAACAAATATTAAAGAATCTCTATTATTTAAAAAATTGTAAATATCACTTATTATTAATAAGTTTGATATTATATGTTATAATATTTATTAATATAATATTTATAATATTTTCAGAATATACCATCATCTAAATCCAATATATGAAAATATTTCAAAAAAGATAAAAATATTATCAAATTAAAAATAAAAATATAAATATAAAAATCAACAATTTTAAAATATATGTACAATTTCAAATATTTTATTTGTTTTGTATATTATTATATGTATAAAAAAAATATAAAAATATGTATTTATTTTTTTAGAAAGAAAATATTTATAAATATGATTGAATATAAAAAAAATATGTTATAATTGCAAATATTTTAATTACATGTTTTAATTAATTATAATTTTTTTATTTTATCTCATTTTTTAAATTTTTTTATATATATTTAGATATTTAAAATATTTTAATTTCTACAAAAAAGTTAAAATATTTCTTACATAATATTGTATCATGTTTTATTTATAATAATATTTCAATTAAGTTTTATTATATTATAAATATCCAGAACAAAAAATATCAACATTTTTTAAGTATAAGTCATGTGTTTGTTTATTGTTTAAATATATTAAAAATTAATAACATAATACAATAGAAAATTATAAATATTTTTAAAATATCTTAAAATTAATATATATTATATAAATTTTACATTAAAAAGAAAATTTTTGTATGTAATAATTTATTTACTGAACTATTATTTTCTTTTTGCATACAAAATAAAGTAATTAATTTATAAAAATTTATATATATTATATAAAATAATATAAAATAAAAAATATAGAAATATAACTAATATTTTTTTAATAATGTGCAATTTATTTTTAATTGCATAAATATATACCATAATACATAATTTTATATTTGTTTTTAATTATAATATATTCTTATTTATTGATATAACTTCAAGCTTAATAATAATAATATTTTTGTTAAGACTTATTAATATATAATTAATAGCGGTATTTTGTAGAATAATCTTTGGGTGAAACAACTAAACCTCTACCTTTTCTAGCACCTCTATAAACTGTTTCAATAATATCAATCATTTCTTGTTTATCTTCTAATGTCCAATTTATTTTATTATTATTTCCAGTTCCTAAATCAATCATTATATGTTTATTTCGAAAGAAAAACATTACTGTACAAGGATCATATAATTCATACCTATAAAAGATTTACATTTATATTTTTTACAAAAATTTATTTTTATATTATAAAATTTTATTTATTAAAATTATTTAATAATTATTATATTTCTTAATAAGAATTAGAATATTTAAACTAATAATTTTTAATTTAAGACTTACATTTTATTAAAATCAGGTACTTGTGTAATATCAACCAAATAGATGACAGCAAAATTTTTTACTTTTTCAGCAATATTATAAAGTACTTCATCCATTTTCATACACATTGGATCCCAATCATGACCAAATCTGATAACCTAAATATATATTATTTACACCTTTTTTTATTTTATTAAACAAACTTGAATACAATTCCATCTATTTTCAAAAAATCTAGAATATTTGATTTAATAAAATTAAATTAAAAACTTACAACTACTCTATCTTCTTCTGATAAAATCGCCTGATCTACTTGCCATCCATTATGAAGATGTGACAACATATAAGACATTGTATTTTTTATTTATTAAATGCAGATTAAGAAGAAAAGAAAAGAAGACAATTTGTCTTTTTACATTCACATATAATAGAATATTTTTATTGTTATAAATCAACTAAAATTCAACAAACAAACTAAAAATAATTATATATTATATAAAATCAATATAATAGTTATTTATCATTAATAATCATTATAACTTTTATCATGTAATTGAAATTATAAATTATAAATTACAGAATTTTATTTTACAGTATAAATCAACATTACACTATAGTCTACAACATTTCTATACTTGAAAATCAAAATTCACTATTATCAACATATTGACAGAATTAAAAGAATCTCTAGTTCCATTTTAATTTTTAGAATATCAATTTTGTTTTATAAGATTATTAATTTTTGTTTATAAGTATATTCTGTCATATATTTTTTTCTATAATAATAAAATAATAACATTTATTATAATTAAATTATTAATTTAATTTTAAAATTGAAAATTTAAAAACTAAAAATCTTATGTATTTCTTTCAATAATAAAAAAAAATTATTTTATACTTTAATAAATTATTTAAAAAATGTTATATTTTGATTTACTTAGTAAAATATAAAAATAAATATTAATATAACTTATATTATATTTATATTCTCTATATAAAATGTTGGATTCTTATTTATATATCGTATACAAATAATATGTACATGTGATGTAATGCAAGAGTGTAAATGTCAACGTGTACATTTTTTATATAGATTTGACTTTCCTTTTTTTATTTAAATAAAAACGCAAATAAAGGTAAAATGAAAATATTTATATAAATATAAAAAATAAATATTAGATAGAAAAATATTACGTACTTTTTAATAAAACATATATATCTAAATTTGTTAATATAGTATCATATAAAAATATCATATAAGTGCAATGAATATATTTATATTTAAATATAAATTACAACTTTTTTATATTTATAAGTAATATAAATTATTTATTTATTATACGTATATTGTAAAAATTATTGATTTATAATGTTAATTCATTATTTTTTTATATTGAATTATATTGAATAACATTATATTAAATAAGAATTAAAAATTTAGAAATATATTTGATAAATTTTATAATATTTAATATTAAATTTTATGTATATTAATGTTTCACTTTATGTTTCACACTATTAAAATTAAGTATATTATGTATTTATATCTTATCTAAAATATAAAATAACAATTAATAGCAATTATTAAAATATATTATTTTGTAGACGAAATGATCCATTGCTCATCATATTAAAAATATTATTTATAAAAAAATATAATGAAATCACAGCAACGTAAGTATATAATTTTAATATGAAAAAATATATTATTATAAAATATAAATAATTATATTTTATATATCTATCAATATAATTTTAATTTTAATTATTCTTTGATATTTTATTTATTTTGAAGGAAGTGATCAAATATTAAAATATATTAGTTTAATTACACTTACATTACAAAATGCTCTGGTTGGACTTAGTATGCGTTATGCACGTACAAGATCAGGAGATATGTTTCTTTCATCAACTGGTACATTTTTTATAAAAATTAATTTTTCTGTTGTTATTTATTAATTATATAAATTATTATATAATATAATATTTTTTAGCCGTTGTTATGGCAGAAGTTGTTAAATTTTTAACATGTCTAATATTAGTTTTTATTGAAGAAGGAAATTTTTTAAAATTTTTTGATTCTCTAAAATTAACAATTATAAAACAGCCTATTGATACCTTAAAAGTATCTGTGCCATCACTTTTATATATTATACAAAATAATCTTTTATATATATCAGCATCTAATTTAGATGCAGCAACTTATCAGGTATGTGTAAAATATCCTATATCCTATATTATTATTATTTTTTTTGTAATGTATTATGTTTTTGTATATATTATTTCTTAGGTAACATATCAACTTAAAATCTTAACAACAGCATTTTTTGCTGTAGTAATACTACGAAGATCTTTAAGAAATACTCAATGGGGAGCTCTAATATTATTAGTTATAGGAGTAGTATTAGTACAATTAGCACAAAGTTCAGACACTACTTTGTCATCTGGCATAGAACAAAACCATTTACTTGGATTTTCAGCTGCCTTAAGTGCATGTTTTTTATCAGGTTTTGCAGGCATATATTTTGAGAAAATATTAAAAGATTCAGATATATCTATATGGATGAGAAACATTCAATTAAGTTTATTATCTTTACCTTTTGGATTAATTACATGTTTTGTAAATGATGGTGAAATGTTACAGAAACAAGGTTTTTTCTTTGGCTATGATTTATTTATTTGTTATCTAATTGTACTTCAAGCAGGTGGAGGTCTCATTGTTGCAATGGTGGTTAAATATGCAGATAATATACTTAAAGGTTTTGCCACATCCTTAGCTATTATAATTTCTTGTGTAGCTTCAATATATCTTTTTAATTTCAATTTGAGTTTCCAGTTTTCTATAGGTGCCATTTTAGTAATATGTTCAATTTTTATGTATAGTCATCAACCAAAGTCTGCATTTATTGATAAACATTGTCTAACTGATAAAGTTTGATGTAAACTAAATTAAGCTGCCTATAAGATAAACATGATATTATTCAATTCAGTAAATTTATTAATACATTCAATCAATGGTGTAATTTATTATATTATTTTCAGTGAATTATTTTCATTGAAGTGACAATCATGATGTATGATTAAAATATTAATATCTATATCATATCAGTCACTTGATCAGTATTTTTTTATATTTTTTATATAAAAAATTTAAATTAATTTTTTTATAAATTAATAAATAATTTTTTATAATAATATTTAATATTAATTACAAATAATAAAATAATTTAGTAATAAGTGATGTTTTCAAAAAAATAATAACTTATTAATAGATCATAGATTAATAATATTTTAAATATATAACTAAATAATTGTATTAAAACTGATAAAAACAAAGTAAGCACATTTTTATATTAAATTAACAAATTACTTATTGTATATGTAAAATTATTCTTTTAATATATATTCCATATATATATATATACATATATACAGGGAATTACATATAAAAATTTTACTTATAAAATATATACTATTTACTTATAAACTTATACTTATTAAACAATTAAAAAATTTAATTGTTTTATTCTAATTTATATATTTTTATATGATGTTACAATTTTTTATTATAGATACAAATATATATATATATATATATATATATATATATAATTTATAATTTATATTGTACTTAAGTTTCAATAAATGAGTCTTATAATGCATTTATTTATTACTTATTATTACTTATTTATATATTTATTACTTATTTTAAATTAATTTAAATTATATTTTTAAAAAACAAAAAAAAAGAGTACAATTATATAATTTTTATCTCGTATCAATACATGTAATAGTTATCAGCAACAACTATCAATTCTAATAAATTAAATTTAAACGTAAAAATTTATTATTAGGAATAATATTTCTATATAATCATTATTATATATCTAAAATTTGGAAAATAATAAAATTTTTTCAAAATAATTTATATTTAAATATTTGAATAATATCGATTTCAGATAAAAAGATCGATATATATTATATAATACAAATATATAATGTTTGGAAAGAATTAAGCAGTATTTTCATACATGTTGGCAATCGTGTATATCGTATATGCTGATTATTCCAGTATAAGAAGCAGAAATTTCGATCTCCAGTATATAAAAGTATCGATAAGAATGAGTGAGCCTCAATCGAAGAAAGTCAAGATGACGAGTTCATTAACACAATTAAAGGAAATTACAACAATTGTCGCTGATACCAGTGACTTCCAAGGTAATTAAATACAACTTTTAAATATATAATTTTAATATGCATACGATCAAAGGTGAAGGTGACTATAAAAGTATAGTAAACGAAATTCAAATGGCGCACTTATAGTTTATCATTTAAATATTAAAAACTGAGAATTAATGTTTTTTATTTAATTATATTACAATATATTTATGTTATAAATATATATATGTATAAATATTATAATAAACTTTAAAATATTCATCGGAAAATTAACTGATATAAAATTTAAATCACATACAAGAGTAGGGGAAATTATAAAATCTTCCGATCTTACGATTACATTTTTTTGTTAGAATATAACTTGTCAATTGTTTTTAAAATTTAAAAAAAAATTAACAAAAGAACATTAAATTCATTAACTATTCTTTTTATCATTTCAAATTTAAAAATTTTAAATTTATAATTTTATAGTAAATTATTTTTATTCTGATTTTAATCTAAATTCTAAAAAATTTATAATATATATATATATATATATATATATATATATATATATACTTATATTACATATATATATACATATTTTACAAAATTCAAATTAATTATTTAGATTTAATATTTTTATTTAAAATGAAATATATATTTCTGACTTGATTTATTTAGTTTTTTAATGTATTAATTTTAATTTCATCATAATTATTTTTATATTTTTACAAATTATTAAAATTCTTTAAATATCTAATTAAATAGAGATAATCTTTTTTTTTTTATATAATGTAATCATATAATGTAATTCATGAATAATATATATAAGTATTACATGTACATATTTGTGCTTTGACCTATAGATGCTAGAGATGACCTTTAAAATGTTCATGTATATATATATATATATATTATATTAAAATTTATTTGTTTGTGTTAAATTTCATTATTTTATTCATATATTATTTATTTGTTATAAATAATTGTTATAATTATTATCATTATTATAATTTATTTTATTATTTTGCTTGATTTTTAAATTGTTTTTAGCTATGGAACAATTTAAGCCAATAGATGCAACTACAAATCCTTCTTTGATCCTTGCTGCAGCTAATCAAAAAAAATATATTCACTTAATAGATAAAGCTGTACAATATGGGAAAAAATCTGGATCGTAAGTATATATATTATAATATTTATAATATATAATCAATAAGATAAAAATATGAATATTATAGTAAATAATTTTAATGAAATATCTGATTATTATAAAATTAAAAATATATAATAATAACACATATTAACTTGTTTTTCTTATGCTAATATTAAATTATGAAATGTTCTTAAAACAATAAAAGAGAAATATATTAATTTTAATTTTTAAAGATTAGTATATAAAATTCTATATATAATTTCTAATTAATTACTATTATAATTAACAAATATATAAAGATTATTTGTTTTAATAGATAGATTTTTAGATGTAAAATTTATAGTATGATAAAAGTTAATTTAAGAAATCATAGAAATTATAAGGAAAATATGATATACATGAACAAAATAATATATCAAGAAATGTAAAGAGATTAAATAAATCTATATGGAAATGTAGGAAAATCTATGAAGATTAGGAAAGAGTGAAAGAATATTGAAATTTATAGAAAAAAGAAAAATAAAAGGAAGTGTGTGAAGCAAAAGGTATGAAAGAAAAAAAGTATTTGCTTGATATGATAAAAGTGGTAATAATTAGTATGATAATTTTATGGTTTATGTAATTTTTTAATGAAAAAAAAATAAACTACTTATAAATTTATTTGTTTCAGTACTTTGACAGAACAAATTGAGGCAGCTCTAGACATCACATGTGTCCTTTTTGGTAAAGAAATTTTAAATATCATACCTGGTAGAGTTTCCACAGAAGTAGATGCTAGATTATCCTTCAATAAAGATGCTAGCATTGAGAAAGCAAAGAAATTAATTGCTTTGTATGAAGAACTTGGTGTAAATAAAGATCGTGTGCTAATCAAGCTTGCTTCTACTTGGGAAGGTATTCAAGCAGCAAAGTAAGTCAAATATATTTATAATTATTCAAAATTACACTACTATAATTCAAATGCAAACTAATGAAATTTTTTGTATAGAGAATTGGAAGAAAAGTATGGAATTCATTGTAATTTAACACTTCTATTTTCTTTTCCTCAAGCAGTTGCATGTGCAGAAGCAGGTGTAACTCTTATATCACCATTTGTTGGTAGAATTCTTGATTGGTAAGTTTAAAATATTTTTTATAAATATTGTAATATTATAATATTTTTTATAAATATATGTAAATTTCAATATATTAAAATATATATAATTTTTATTTATGAAATTTATTTATTTATGAAAATATTCTTTAGGTATGTGGCAAATACAGATAAGAAATCTTATGAATCTAAAGAAGATCCAGGTGTTTTATCTGTAACAAAAATTTATAATTACTATAAAAAGTTTGGATATAAAACAGTTGTTATGGGTGCTTCATTTAGAAATATTGGTAAGTAAAATTATTTTAAAATTAAATTATTAATTTAATTAATAATTTGTTTAAAAAATAAATAAAAATTGTGAGAAAACTATGTTATTTTCTATTAAGGTGAAATTAAAGAACTAGCTGGTTGTGACTTTTTAACTATAAGTCCCAAATTATTGGAAGAATTAGAAAAGAGTAATGATGTAGTACGTAAAGTACTTACAGTAGAAGCAGCAAAGAAATCTGATCTTCAAAAGGTCAGTTTAAATGAAGCCGAATTTAGATGGCTTATGAATGAAGATCAAATGGCAACAGATAAGCTAAGCGAAGGAATTCGCAAATTTGCGGTAGATGTTCGTAAATTAGAAAAATTATTGCAAGAAAAAATACAATCCTAAATATAAGTAAAATATATCTATTTTAAATATCTATGTAATAAATGTTATATTGTAAATAACAAAATATAAAAAATAATTATTCCAATATAAATTTTTATTGTATGATATATTCCACTTTTTTATATGATGCATAAATGATGAATAAATTTAAATAGGTATTATAATATTAAATACTTATAATATTAAATAAAAATGAAATTTTAAGGAAATATATTATAAAGAATTAGTTTTTATAAATGTAATTGGTAAATTAAAATTATATTGCTGATATGATATAATGACATAATATAGATTTTGATATAGTAATAAATAATAAATTATTTATATTATATTAGTATATTTTTACATATAAAATATTTAATGTATAGGATACTTTGTTTATTTTGTATTTATTCATTGATATTTTTTTGATATGCTATACAGTTGACAAATAAATTTTATATACATATATAAAGTACATAATCTTCAAATAATCTTATATGAAAATATAGGATATTTCAAAAAACTGGAAAATTAAATATTCTTTGTTTTTTTATGAATATAATTTTAATAATTTTATAATTTAAAAACTAAATATAATATTTTATTTTATTCTTTATTATTTTACATAATAAAAAATATAATAAAATTTGTTTTTATTGAAAAATGATATTTAAGTTTGGCAGATATAAATTTTGTTATAAAACTATTTATATTATTATTTAAAATTATTATTATAATTATTACAAAATTAAACTAAGTTTATTTTGTAAATGTTGATATATTTTATATTTTTCGATTCAGAATCTCTGAGTCGGAGAACAGAATCAAGAACAAGGGTCAATCTAGTGTAATACATATATCAATGCTATGACAATATGATAAATTACATGTTGATATTGGCATATATAAATCGAACACATTAATTCATGTATTTTTTCTAAATTGTTTTTTAATATTATAAAAATTTTTCTAAATTTTTATAATATTAAATAAAATAAAATAAACATAAAAGAGAAAAAGAAAGTGAAAAAGATAAGATAAGAATTAACTATTAGCGCCATCGTTTGATTATAAAAGATATATCTTTAAAAGAAGAATAAAGTACAATAAAAATTGAGAATTAACGCCATTTTTTTTAGAAAAATATTTTGGCTCTTTCTTTCTAAAATAAATGTATGAAATGAATTGAATCTATTAATCTCGAATTAATCGAAATATTCATTTCGATTGAAGAGAAATAGCATGATAATATTTAATATTTATGTTAAAAATTTTCTTTATATATTTTTAAGTGACTAAGTAATATAAGTGAATAAATAAATATAATAATTATACTTTATTATATATAAAATTTTGTAAAATGCCGAAGAAAAAGACAGGACAAAGACGAAAAGCTGAAAAACAAAAATTAAGACAAAAAGAAATTAGAACTGCGAAAGATCAATTAGATTTAGCTAAATTTCCTTGTAATGCAGTAATGGTAAGTAATTATATGTTTATTTTATAATGTATATTATAATGTATATAATAATGTATTTATTGATATAATTTATGATTACAAATAAATATAAATTTTAAAAAAGTATTTTTTAGGTTACAAATATATTACAGTAGATTCATCTAATAGTCTATTAATATATAAATATTAATTAGTAATAAAATATTAAAAATATTAATTATATTAAACAATATATATGAATATATATTTTTGTCTGTGCTATACTATATTCTTATTTAATTTTTTAATTAATTTAATAAAGGAATGTGATAAATGTGGTAAAAAACAAAAAAGTAGAGCCTTTTGTTACTTTTGTCAAACTTTACAACGATTACCAATGTGTGCTCATTGTGGAAAAATAAAATGTATGCTCAAAACTGGAGATTGTGTTGTTCGTCATCCTGGAGTATTTACTATTGGTTTAGGTATGGTGGTAAGTAAATATATCTTATTTATAAGTAAAATAAATATTATAATAAATATAAATTATAAATATATAATGCCAAAAATGTAATATAATTAAATATAATTAATATATATAATTAATATAAATATTAAAGGGAGCTATATGTGATCATTGTGAAGCATGGATCTGTCATGGAAGACGTTGCCTTACAACTCATGCATGTATATGTCCATTAATAGATGCAATTTGTCAAGAATGTGAAAGAGGTGTATGGGATCATGGTGGTAGAATATTTCGATGTTCATTTTGTAATTGTTTCCTTTGTGAAGATGATCAATTTGAACATCAAGCATCATGTCAAGTTTTGGAAGCAGAAAGTTTTAAATGTAAAAATAAAAAATATAATTATATATATGTATTTTATATATATTTATATTAATGCAATTATATTTGATTTGTTTCAAATAATTAATATTTTAAGGTCAATCATGCAATCGATTAGGACAATATTCTTGTTTAAGATGTAAAACATGTTATTGTGAAGATCATATTCGAAGAAAAGGATTTAAGTATGAAAAAAACAAACCAATTCCTTGTCCTAAATGTGGCTTTGAAACATCACAAACAAAAGATCTTAGTATGTCAAGTAAGTAATACATTTACATTAAATACTAATTTTTCATATTTATATTTAATTAAGAAATTATATTTTTAAAACAATGTTATAAAATTATTTTTCATTTTATTATAGCAAGAAATCATAAATTTGGTAGACAAAATCAAGGTAATACATATGAATATGATAATGAAAGTGGATATAATTATTATGGTAAAGAACTTTATTGTATTTTTAATATTCATTTATTTTTTTAATTTAATTTACTTTATTTTCTTTTACATTATATTATATATTTTATAGGAAATCAATCTCAAAACTGTATTCCTGAAAATTATACTAGTTATCAAGAAAATGAAAGTGAAGATGACAATAATGATGATGATGATGACGATGACGACGACGACGACGACGACGACGACGACGACGACGACGACGACGACGACGACGATGACGATGACGACGATGATGATGATGATGAAGATAATGAAAATGACAACGATGATGATGAATCAATAAGTGAAAATGAACAAAATTGCAATAATAAATTATAATAAATATAATATTAAATTAAAATGTTTAACAAAAATTGAGTTTGTAATTAAATGTAAGAATGAAAAAATAAATATATTACATTGTTATGTCTTTATAATAATTTATAATTTATATTTATGATAAGAAGATAAAATTAATCAAAGATCTTATTAAAAATAAATATATATATTTTATTTAAGATATATTTTCTTTATAAAAAAAATATCTAAATAATTAAGTTAACTAGAAAATTTAATAGTTCATAGCTATTAAATAACAAATGAAATATTAATATATTTTATACACATTACTTTTATATATAATAATTAGAAACATTACAAAGTAACAAATATGACATATTACATATGTAAAAATGTATATTATACACGTAATGAAGTATATTCAGATGGAAAGGCAAAAGTATGAGAACCAAATGCATTAACACTTGGCAAAAGTCCAGCATTTGGTATAATATTCCATGATAATATTAATGTTACATTTTTATTTCCCCTAAAATAAGAGATAATTATTAAGTTATATAAACAAATTGTTTTTTTATTAAATGATTTATAATCATAAAATAATTACCTTAAACCATTACCATCATCCCAGAAATAATATTTTGTGTTCATATTTTTAAAGTCAAGAACAGCATTATCTCCACGAAGTACTATTTTATCCCATAATACTACCTAAAATATAAAAATATCTACACATATTCAAATCAAATATAATTAAAAACTTAAACTATTTCTATTAGAATATTTAAGTTATACCTGATTAAAATTGTTATTTTCTGTTTGATATTCTGCTGTGAGATATAAAAATAATTGCTTAACATTCCAATTAAATAAAGGAGTGAGATGTATATTTTTGTAAAGAAATTATATTTTATAATTATAATATATTATTATAAATCTAAAATTTTTATTATTTATTAGATACTATATATATATTATGAATTGTATAACAATAAAATTTAATATTAATAAACAAAATAAAATATTTCAATTAAAAAAAAATATATAGTATTTTTATTTATTTAAATTAATATTGAAATATGTTATCATTTATTAAACATGTTTATTATATATATTTTTAACATAAAAAAATATTAAAAAATATAATAAACATATAAATATTCATATTTCTGAATAAAACAATAAAAAGGATATCAGTTTGTAAATCAAATGTTAAATATCCCAAATCATTTTTCTCTCTTGAAGCACTATAATCTGCTACATTTTTTCTGTAAAATAAAAACTTATAATAATTACTAAATAATGTTAATTATGATATATATAACATTTTTAATAATTAAAAATAATTTAAAAAAATTTTAATAAAGTTATTTTATACTAATAATAATTTAAAAATTTTATTTTTTATATGTAATATATTTTTTATAAAAATTAATATTTTTCATAATTATTTTCCATAAAATTATTATATAAAAATAAATTTTACATTATATTATAAAGAATATATAAATTCAACAATGAAAAAATATAAACAAACATATTAATAAATATTTTGAAATGAAAAATCATGAATTAACAAATTTATATTTATAACGTTTATTAAATAAATGTATTATACTTACACAACTACTTTTACAGTATTTAAAGTTGCGTTTGCTCTGTAGTCAATAAATACAGTAGAAAGAAAACAACAAAATGTTAAACATGCCGAAACACTCAAAGTATATGCTAAAATAGCATTACCGCGCATAAAAGCAGTATGCATTATTATATTTTATTATCAATAAATAAAATGTCAAAACTTGTATTTAATAAATTTATTAATTAAATTATGCATTAAAAAATTTTAATCAAAATTAATTTCTTCTAAATTTCTTTTTTCAACGTCAGCACTTCGACAAGGTGGAATACCGGGTTAGTGTTCGAAAATAAACCGAACATGTAACGCGTTCACAAATAAAGTAAATTTAAATTCAATAATCACATTTACTTATATATAGAAATTTATTTGTTGTTTATCTTATATTTATTTGTTGTTTACCTTATAAAAATGTATTTATATTTTTTATAAAATAAAATACTATAAAATTAATGACAAATAAATAATAATTAATAAATTATTATTATCTATTATTTGAATGTTTAAATTAATAAATAAATTAATAAATTAATAAGTTTATAAATATTATGAGAAATATTATATAAATTTTATATATAAATTATAAATATATAAATAACATTTATTTTAAAAAAATTATAAAAAATATTAATTTTTTTAAAAATTAATTGAAATAACTATGTTATTTTTATAATAATGAGTATACATATATACATTTATGTATATATAATATTTAATATTCATATATATACGTGTTTTTCTATTTTGTTACTAAAATATACAAACTTTAATTGATGACATGCTTCTTCTAAATGTACCAATATCAAATAATTTCAGTTCACAATAGGTTATTTTTTTTATCAGCAGCAACTTCAAGGAACATATTAGTATGCAATATAATGTTTATGTGAAATGTGCGGTGAAATTGTTTGAAAAAAAATAAATAATTTATCCTAAGAAATAAGTTGAGTACGTTGGATATGTCGCATTGGAAAGTATGTAAATATTGCTAGAATATTTTTGATTATTTTTAATTTCAAAACATTTGTTTCATTTAATCGTATATATTTTTAAAATAGATATTAAAAATCTTTTTAAGAAATTTTTCTAAAATGATTTTAATATCATTTATTTCTTAGTTTTACATTAATATAATATATAATGCGATTTTTTAAAAAATTTTTTAAAATTTATGATAATTATAAATAATTATTTAATATTTATATTTTCAAATCATATATTAATAATATAATTAATATCATAAAAATAATAATTTTCTTATATTTTGTATATATTATGTTTACATTAAATTTTGAGATTTATTATATTTTGAAGAATAATCATATAATTCTGAAATCTTATTACATATATATTGATATAACAATGATATGATTCACAAATTATAATTTTAGAAAAAAGCAACTTTGAATCATTATAAGATTATATAAGATTATATGACATCAAAATGACAAATTAAAAATTCACATTTCGAAAATCATTTATAGTCCTTTATTAAAAAATTCAAGCAACAATTGTTTTTTCTTTTAGATTTTAAGTTATAATATGCAATATAAATGATCAAATAATTAAATTATAATATATATTTGTGTTAATATTATTGTTATTAATAATAATAAATAATAAATATTATATAATATTCATATTGGTTTTTAATAAAATTTAATAAAATTAATTAAATTTATTATATTTATTTCAGAGTAACAAAGAATGGGTTGTGTCAATAGTCGAACAGATATTAATGATCTACATCCAAATGTTTTTCAAGTGATGAATGTAGATGATTTAGGTAATTTAATTACACCTGGACGTTTAGAAGTTACAGAAACTGATATAGTGCTTTATCAACGTGGTAAACAGCCTATTAAGTGGCCACTACGTTGTTTAAGGCGATATGGTTATGATGCTGAAATTTTTAGTTTTGAATCAGGAAGAAGATGTTCTACAGGTCCAGGCATTTATGCTTTTAAATGCCGTAGAGCTGCACATTTATTTAATCTTGTGCAAACAAATATTCAGGTTTGTTTATAATATAAAATTTTTTTATAATATAAAATATATTATGTTTATCATGAATTTAAGATAATCTTTTTTAAAAGTTTTTAATTTTATAAAAAAAATGTAATTTAAAATTTATTATAGGTTTGTAATAATAGTGGAGATGATACAATGTCTAGAGAACTTCCAATTGCTTCTCATTCTGCTCCAACAGTAACAAGAGTGACAATACCAGTTGAGCCTAATTATTTGGATCCTATATTAAATAGATCTAATAATCATATGGGTCCTAGATTTGTTCATAATCAACAAAATGGAGTTGGAAGACTCGATAGTGTAGGAAGTAGCACTGGTTTTATGTCATCTCAAGGAAACATAAACTCTCCTACATCACCTCCTGTGCTACCACCACCACCACCACCACCACCACCACCACCACCACCACCACTACCATCATTTCCTCAATCACATCCGTCCTCACTTTATGTAAATGAAGAAGTATTGTCCTCTCTATCATTAGAAATGGAACATAATAACAACAAAAGCCTTAGAAGAGCAATACAGAAGTAATTAAAAACATGATTATATTATTTATACAATTTATTATTTTATTATTATATATATTATTATTATTATATATTAATATTATTTTATGTTTCATAGGTCTTGTACAATCAGTAATTCTATATCTGATAATGGATCAGCATCATTGGAACTAACATCTGTACATAAAAATACAGAAATCACTTCTCAAATTAAATCACCACTTTCAATAGCAACTTATATAAATATAGATATTAATAATGATGTTAGTCTATTATCTCCAACTCATAGTATATCTGAAATAATGCAATTTAAAGAAGACAAAAATGAAAACAATGAATGTGGACATGCTTATATAAATATAAATCCTCAAGAACATGCAGAATCTTTTAATGTTAAACCACGACCTTTACCATTGTCATCTATTCAATCTGATATAGAAGAAGCAACAAGACATTGTTATGCTAATTTAGAATCAAATGAAATTGAAAATTTAAGAAAAAGATTTTCTGGAGTATCTATTGCGGAGAAATCGCCTTTGCCTCCATCAACGCCTACAGGTGGTCCAATTAGAGAAGTAAATTATGCTGTATTAGATTTGGATACAAAAGATGTGCCAATGAATTTACCATTAGATGGTCCTTCAAATTCCACTGCATCTCCTCCAGAATCTCCAAATAAACTACAAAAAGGGTATGCTACAATAGATTTTAATAAAACGGCCGCTCTTTCTCATTCAGTCAACCCAAATATTGTAAATGATAACGAAGGTTCAAGAAAAACACGTCACAATTCTACAATTAGTGATTTAGCAGCCTCTGGTAGGCGTAGTTCGTCTATAAGTGAATAATAAGTTTTTTGTTTCCTGACTGTGCCTGCATGTATTGAATATCTGTAGCATTTTATAGAAAGTATAAAATATTTGATTAAATATAAATAATTTAATAATATAAAACCAAAGAAAAAAATATTAAATTAGTTCATATACTTTTCATATAATATTAAACAAAAAAAATTTTAGTATGTAAAAGCATAATTAAAAAATTAAATTTCTCATTTTATTTTATATTTTATTATTCATTTAATAGAATTTAATTTTATACAACATATACAAAAAATATTACAGTATTTTTAAAGAGTAAGTCTTTTTTCATAGTGTTGTTGATATGCACAAAAAAATCTCTTTTATATAATATATAAATATGTTTATAGAATATGTAAGTAATGATTTTCTACATTGACTATTGTAGGAGAATTAGAAGCTAAAATGCCCTAATTTTCCTGAATCATAGGAATTGATGAGGCTCAAATAGACTAATTGAGATAAAAATACATGATATATTGACTACTTTAAAAGTAGTCAATTAAAATTTAATTAATTATGGCCATAATTTGGAGTGATTTTGATAATTCATAGATATTAATAGTAAAACATTATATATATATATAATATATGTACAACAAATAATGTACATATAAATAAATATGTACACAAATATAATCTTGTTACTCTTTAGATAAAAATTTTTAAAAGACACAATTTTAATAATATAATTATTATGTTCTATTTAGAATTTGATATTTTATAATTATTTGCTTTATAAATTAAATACGTAAATATATGAAAAATATGTTTCTTTAATATAATTAAAAATATATTAATTCATAATAAAAACATATTTAAGATATATATATATATATATATATATATATGACATAATAAATTATATATTTTTAATAGATAGAATAAAATATAATTCTTATGTATTATTTTATTGCAAATAATTGTTTGTTATTATTTAAACATACCAATAATTTATATGAAATTTTTTTTAAACAATGTTTTTATAATTATTCTGAATTTATAAAATTCATTTTATTCATTTCAATTTTATTTTTTTTTTTTAAATTATTCATTAGAAACTTAATGTGAATAACTTAATTTTTATGAATTATATGTATTATTTTTTATAATTTTCTCTTTTAAAAATTTCTGATATGTATTTATGTTTTAAATTTATAAAAAAGACTATTTCTTATTAAAAGTATATTTATCATAGTTAATTATATGTTTTTATAAAAAAAACTAATCCTTTTTGGCTAAAAATACTAATCATTTTTTTTATTATGCTCATGCTATATAATTTAATTAATCATTTAGAAATTCATTTAAGAATTTAATTAATCATCAATTGTTATGATTATAGTTGTTGTTTCTTAATTAAATTTATTTATATAGTTATGAAACAAAAAGAAAATATTAGTTATAATATATTTGTTTATACAGAAAATAATATCCATATTTTAAATGTTAATTTTGCATTGCAATTTTATTAGTTTTTTCTATTATAAAACTATTAATATTTAATATAATATATTGTTAAATTTAATATTACAAAAATCATTTTTTTTTATATTAACAATAACTAAAAATTATAACATATATAAAAATATCTAACATTAATTAAAATCATTTATTTTTTACAAGAATCTTAAAAAATTAATAATTATTAAAAAAAAACTATTTATTGAATATGTCAGTTATTTTTATTTTTGAAAAATTATTGCATGTTACGAATAATTTTAAATAAATATTATAGTAACATGATATTAAAAATAATAATAATAATAATAAAAACAGATTTTATATAATTATATTGTTCTTATAATATTGACATATTCACTGCCATAATTTAATATCTGAGAACTAAATATAATTGTTACTTCTTAAATCTTTTATATATAAATTTAACATAATTATTGTTAATATTTCATATTATTTTATTATATTGTGATGAAAAAAAAACTTTATTATAGTTATTATTAATAAATGTATACATTTTTTATGAATAGTTAATGGTAGTGAATAAGTTAATATAAAACACTAAAACATTCTACTTTATTATACAACAAGTTTATATAAAAATATATTTAATTACTTTTTTATATTATTATTTAATATAATAAATTAGCATTTAAAGTAAATTAAGATATTTATGTTCAAAATTCATTTCAATAAATATGATAATAAATGGCTCATTTATAATAAAATATAAGTAAAAGAATGAATGTTTTTATAATTACATAAAATTATATAAATTGTAGATAAAAATTATTTTATTAAATTACTACACATCACATGTATTCAGTGAATATTTTTAAGCAGCTAGATAAAGCCAAAGAGCTTATTTTTATTTGTTAAATTTAAAATTGTATCCATTATATCTTTCAATTCATATTTTTTTTTAAAAATGTTCATAAATATCTCTTTGTTATTGATAAGTTAATCGATATATAATATAATAACTATATATTGTAAAAAAATAACATTACATTATAATCTATACTCTTTCTGTATTTTAATTTTTTACATACTAATAATAAGTTAAACTGTTCTTTAATTTAATGTTTTTAAATAAATGAGAATGATAAACTGTTTTTTTTTAAATTAAATTAATAGTTTTTTAAAATCATTTTATAATTATCTTTATGCTTTACATTTTCTACATTATAAAATAACAAACAATTATAAGATATAATATAGATATGTATAGATATAATATAGATATAATAAGATATAATAGATATGTATAATTTTTAAATATGAGTGAATTAGAAATATATTCATAGAAATTATATATTCTTCTCTATGTTAAATAGCATTTTGAATTCAATACAAAATTAAAAAAAAAAATGTTTATATATATATATATAATTTATCATTTAATATTATCTATTGACAATATTTAAATGCTTTATAGAAATAATAATAAAACATACATTTTAAAATTATATTTAATTATATTTTTAATATATATTTTGAATTTAAGTTTAATAAATTTAAATTTTAAATATATATATATTTTTTTTTACAAAAAAATTAGATATTTTAATTAAAATGGAAGAAAGAAAAGAGAGAAAAAAAGAATAACGAATATTAAGAATAGTACTTTTGAAAATATTGAAAAATACCAATAAAAAATTTGTTTCTTTGTATGTGAAACAAATTTTAAAGTATAATAATGAAAAACTTTATTTAAATTATTAAAAAATTCTTCGATTTGTTATGTATGGCACGAATGTACCCTAAAACTATACATCGAAAAATAACAATAAAAATATGTGTATGGATTTTATCTTATGTAATATATATAATACTTTCTATTATTACAAAGATAAAAATTTGTTTTTATCTTTAAATATGGCAGTATTGTATTAAGTACATAATTTTTATTTTATTAATTTTTAAGAAATTATTTTATTATAATAGTAATTTTCATAATATATTATGTATCGTTTTAAAATAATTTTCTTCTCTTAATCCATTTTAGTTTAAATAAATTTAGAAATATAATAAAAGATATTTTTAAATGTATACTAATGCAACATTTCTTTCTTTATATTTCATAAATAAATAATTTAAATATATTATTAAAACATATATTTACTTGGAGCGATTTATTAAATATTCAAAAAATGTTTATTATATAATTTATATAATTAATATTTTATATAATTAAAATAATATACTTTTTTATCAAAGAGAGAGTAATTAATCTTCAATACCAAGAAGTTGTTGCATTAGACATTTTAGCTAGTAAATATTTAAATGGGAAAAAAATAAATGTATAAAATTGCTTAATATTATATATGTTATTATATACGCATATTTGCAATACATGGACAAGAAGTTGTAAATAAATATGATGCAACGACAAATTGAGCAAGAGCACGCTGAATGTGCAATTATAATATATAATGAACATAATGGCTGTGAAGTATTTTAATTCTTTGTCATTTAAAAAATAATTTATAATCTTTTATCATTTCTTAACTAATTTTATTAATTTTTAATTTTTTTTTAATTTTTTTAAATAAAATATATGTTATTATTTTTATTTTCAAGTAAAATCTAAAATTAAAAGATATAAGATTAATTTTTCATAATTAAAAAATATATCAAAAAATTTATTTTTGTATTTTTTTTTTATATTATTAGAAAATATATAATTTTGAACTATGTATATTACACAAGTCGTTATGCAACTTTTGTTTACATGTATTATACTATATTTGGAATGAGATCCTGTTTTTATATTAATTTTAAATTATTTAAATACATATTTGTATATACAAAAACATGATAAATTTAATATTTCTTATTTCTAGTAATTTACGTATATTGTATAAAAATTATAAAGAGTAATATTAATTCTTTTACATAATATTGTATGATAATAAATTAAATATAATGTTAAAGGGCATATTTAATAAGGTAATCTTTAAATATATATATTCCTTTATTTAAAATGTATATTTTGATATAACACAGTCTTAAAAGGCACTTTTTTATCCACAGCCAAAAATTATGGCATTTATATAATTTTAATTATGTCCGTTCTATCTCTGTTTTAATTATGTCTTTTTATATATATATTTGTATATTAGAATCTTGAGCAATAAGCAAATATTAGTACTTATAAATGAATGAAAAAAAAATATATGTACATATGAATTGCAATATTATTATGTTTGTATATTGAATCAAATCATATTTAAGTTTAGAATATTTTTTAACACTTTAAATTTAGAATGTTCTGAAATCATCAAGTTATTTTAATACATTTTATTTTCATTTTTTTTCTTAATTTCATAAATGAGTATAGCTGGATATCTGGAACTTAATGATTTACAAATGTTTTATATGTAAATATATATTAAAATTAATAAAATAAAAAAAAATTATACCATTTTTTATGTAATATTTTTTAATATAAATTTTGCAATAAAATATTTTGTAAAACCACATAAAAAAAATAACAAAACATGAAATTGTTTTCAAAATTATTATACACAAAATACAAATACATCAAATATTTTTTATAATATTAATAATATTATATGTGTGTTATATGAAAATCCAATAATTTAATACAATAATTTTATTATTTATTTAATGTAAGAAATTTCAATGTTAAAATAATTTTAAAATATTAAACATATGTTTTTTCTATATCAGTTCAAAAAATAAACAATAATAAAATCATCAAATTGATTAACTTTTTGATAAAATATTCTTGATAAAAATAAAATTTAAAATTCTATTACAAATCACATTTCAATAGACATAAAGAAAATTTGATTAGATTTACTATTAAATCAGCAACTATCAAAAAGTCATACAAAAAAATAATTAAGCAGCGAGTTGGCGACGTCTACTCAATTCGTGATCTATTAAAACAGAAATATCAGGATGACGATGAAAAATTGTCGTGCAATAGTTGATTGTTTGACTTGGATCTGCACCTGCTTTCAACAATAATCTTACTGCATTAATAAAGCCACTTTCAGCAGCTACTTGAAGTGCAGTTAATCCTTCAGTATTTAATTTTTCTAATTGTGCAAGAGGCGATGTAACCAATAAAGAAACAGTTTGATGAAAACCTCTTGCAGAGGCTAGATGCAAAGGTGTATTGCCACCGGCATCTTGTATACTAGGATCTTCTCCGTGTTCTAACAATTTCGCTACCATATCGACATAATTTTTTCTAGAGGCAATGTGCAATGGAGTTTCACCATAACGTGACATTATACCGGTTGGTGTATGTGATATAAGTAAAAACGCGGTATTTAAAGCACCGCACTCGAGACACTCATGTAAAGGAGTCTCTCCTCTATCATTTTTTAGTGATGGATCCGCACCAGCAGCCAACAACGTTTCGATCAATGATTCGATTTCAGTTCTATGGTTGTTATCTGTAAGAAAATAATTTTTATTTTTATTTATTTATTTTAAAAAATAAATATTTATAATAGTTTTTAAAATAATCAAATATTAAAATTATTTTTTTTATATTTAAATATATATTTAATTTTATAATTTTAGTTTTTAAAAATTTTTAATATATTTTAATACTATTAATATATATTAATATATTAATATTATTAATATATTTTTATTTATGTATTCTGATATTTATTTTTTATAACATCTATCAATATAATTAAAAATATTTTTATGTGTATTTTGGTGAAGAAATATTTTAAAGAATAACATTGGTAACTAAATATTTTAAAAAATAACATTGGTAACTAAATATTTTTTAACAATAAAATTAAATAAAATACTTGTAATTACTTTGTAATTAATCGTTTAATAAACAACTTATTTATTAAATATATATAAAAGTTTATACCAAAAATAGTAGATGAAGCTAAAATATGGAGTGCACTACGGCCTTGATGATCTTTCGCATTAATAGGACCAGCGCGTGCTAATAAATCAAGCGTTTTTAAAGCTGCTTCAAAATTATGATGCAAATTTTTTGATCCTTGTGCATGAGCTAGTTGACGTGTTAATATATGCAAGGCGGTCAAACCACCACCAGCTTCTTTTACGCCTGATGGGCAACCATATTTCAAAAGTTCTCCTACGAATTGCAATACATTTCCTGGTCCTCCATTTAAAATCACTCTATGAAGCGCCGTTTCTCCACGAGGAGAGCGCACAGCTGGATCACATCCGTTCGCGAGTAATAAACTACAAAAATCGAGAACGCTTTCATTTCTATTTTATTATTATTTTTCTTTTTTCGTTTAATTTTAATATAATAATATTAAAATAGCAATAATATAAATTAAAAAAATTCGATTATAATTAATGTCATGATATTATTTAAACACAAATAAATAAATAAATAAATATAATTTAATAGTGATTTTAATATTATTAAAAAATAACAAGAATTATATTCCTAGATTTTATGTGTAAATTTTTTCGAGATGTTTATGAACATCTGGTAGCAATATGACAAGAAAGTACATATATATATATATATATAAACCATGTAAGCAAAAATATTTTTATATATTCGATAAATCAACACTTTAATTACAATAATTTGGATTTTTCAATGATCTATTAAATAAGCTCTCTTTTATTAATAATTAGAATTCAATAAAATCAATAAATTTAAATCATTATATTTACATTAGAAAATTTTTTCTATATAAGAAAATATAATTTTAATATTTATTAATATTAATTTTTAGATTATATAAGATTTAAATAATATAATTTTATTTTTTGAAATATTAATATTTTAGATAGATAATCAGACTAAAGACTCAATAATGAAAATAATTTAATTTTTTATGAAATAAATTTATTTAAAACATAAATATAAGTATCTATATATTCTTCAAAATTCATTTTTTATAAAATTTATTGATTTTGATAGAAATTAGTATGAAGGAAATAAATATTTAGTAATAATTACTATTATTAAAATTTTTTAATTAAATTTTATTTTTAATTAATAACTTTATAATTTATTAATTATTTTGTTTCAAAATTTAATGTTTTCAATTTCTCAATCATTAGTGATAAATTATTGGCATGATACATAATATGACAATTTTTCAAAAATATATTCTATTTTCATTAATATTATATGCATATATTTTATGAAAAATTTCATTTCAAAAAATGTTTAAAATTAAAAAAAATCTCTTAAAGATCTTTTATTATTCAATATTTAAAATTTTATTTAATGTTTTATAATTTACAGAAAAAATTTCTTACCTAAGTATAGGCAAACAATGATTTGTAGCTGCTACTAGCAAGGGTGGATCACCTGAAACATTCCAATCTGGTTCGTCTAGATTTTGTATTAAGTTACTTGCAAGAAGTGCCGCAACGCACTTGGCGTCTCCAGCACGTACAGCTTCGTGAAAATTTAGTTCACTCTCTGGATCATAGATTTCTTCGTTATTTTTTTGAAGAACTGTATTTTCTAATGATTCATTACAATTTCCAAAATCGTTTGAAAAATCGCTAATTTCCATAGCAATACTTTCAATAGAGTTTTGCAATTCTTGTAACTTAAAATTATCTTGCGGAAAAAGATCAGTTTCACGTGTTTCCGATATAATATCTTGAAAATCACATTCGGTGAGAAACGCATCGACTTTCATTGATACAATTAAATTTGAAGTCGATTTTGGTACACTCAAATCACAATTTTTTATCACTTCATTTTTAATTTCACCCATATTAATAGTTGCATTTTGAATATCTTCAATAATAACTGAAGTATTTTCATTTTTTTCTAGAAATTCACTATCTTCATTATTTTTATATTCCACAATATTTTTAACTTTTTGTTCAAGCAATTCTGATGTATCAACTGATATACAAAGTGTAAGTTTTTCTTTATTAACAAGGATTTCCTCTTGTTCCTCACCACCTGTTGCAAGCTTCATAATTCCTGTAGTAGCAAATTCAGTGCTTTCCTCCAGCATTGTTTGTTCTTTCTTGTTGTATGATATTTTATTAACTATTGTGCTTGTCTTCTTTTCTACGTTCTGTTCCTGAGATATAGGATCGTTTGTATAAGCAGCAGTCATTCTGATAATTATTGCTTGCCTTTTAATTGAACCTGATTCTCTGATAATTGACTTGACGTTTTTTAAGAGGAAGATACACCGTGATCTACTTTACTGTAGTCATTACTATTTCCTTATTTTTTCTTTTCTAATACACCTGTTTGTTCATTACTTTTTCAATATAATAAAATTATCAATCATATAATTAAGATACAGATGAATACAAATTATAAATGTTTATGTATAAATACAAATGTACAAAATAATTCATAAAACGAATCAACGAATTACAAATACGTGACTAAAAAGCAAATGAATCTGCTTACGAAGCGTCGCTACGAATTTCTCTGCTTCTCTTCTCCTTCTTCTTAACTTCCCCACCCTTACTCCTTACCCCACTTCTCAAAACCTCCTGCGGTGCATCCAAGGAATTTATTGTAGATCTGATACCCTAGAAATCGGATTCAACATATCTTCTTATCTTACTTTGTATTTGCAGCGATTAAATTTAAGTAATATATGCTTTTTTACATTTATTCTTTCATTTCTTTCATTGCATCAATTTTGGAATTGAAATTTGTATTATTTAAGATTTTTTTATCATTTCAATCAAAATTATATTTTGAATTTCTAGGAAATTTTATTTTTTTATCTCTATATTGATACTTTTATTCGTAAGTGATAATTATAAAAATTATATAAATTTTGAATGCAAAAAGATATAAAATGATAAGATATAGTATAATTTTAAATAAAAATTATAAATTAATTTAAATACTTTTTTAAACATAATCCAAACACATTACTTAAAATATTATATAATATATACAAATAACAAATAAATATTATGATATACATATAATAAATATTATGATAATATTATAATTAGTTTGATTTTTTTTAACTTTACATTTACAAATATAAAGTATGAAATATAAAATACATGTATTTATATAAAATGATAATTTATATGTAAGAATCAATATCAATTAAACATTAGATCAAATAAATTAATTTAAAATATTAGGAATATAATATCACTTTCAATGCATTTTTAACTTTATCTATATTTTTTAGTATAATTTTATTTATTAATCACATTTTTTTAAAGATAATTTTATAAAATAATTAATTTTAATTAACTTTATGAAATATTACTTTTATAAATAATGTTTTTATCTACTATTCAATAGATTTAAAAATTATGAATTAAGTACTTACAATTAATTTATCTTGATTAAAAAATGTATTTTATAAAGATCACTAAAAATATTTCATCTATTATCTATCAGGAAAAATAAAAAATGAGGTTAATGCAGAAGATTAAATTTTTATAAATTACTTCTCATAACTTCTCATAATATTTTGTTCATTATTTGTAAATATATTCACAGTAATATATATTATTATATATTTAATATATCATTATATTTGTTTCAATTTCATATTCAACATAATTTCATGCAAACCGCATGATTTTCACGTTATTGTTAAAAATGACAAAAATAACATATTACTATGCAATCTTTTCTATTTTCATTGATTTTATATTGATACTTAAATATTCATTGAAATATTATATTGATACTTAAATATTTTTATTTTTAAATAATCCGTTTTAAAATATAAATGTCAATATTTTTTTAGAAATGTAAACATTCTTTGAATATGCACACAGCACACGCTTATATGTATAGATTGTGTAAAAATTCATATCTGAAAAAATAATGTATTACATCTATAATAAACTTATTATGATAATTCTATTCTTGTTAAAATAATTTGATATTTTTAAATACTATTTTATACTTTAAGTGACAATAAATTTACATATATTTGGTAAAAATTTATTGAATATTAATTTTAATAAATTTCAATTTTACAATACAGAATATATATAACATAAAAATTAGATTTTATATTATAAGATTTTATTTTGTTTTAAAGATAAAAAAATACATTGTAAAGAAAATTACTTAAGGAAAATCAAGTATTAAATTTCAAAATTTAATTTTGTTTTTTTGATATATCAATAATTAATTTTAATTCTAATTTTGTAATTAGTTTTAAAAAATGTAGAAAAATATCAATAAAGTTATTGAATATTTAAGTAATTTATATTTCCTTTTTAGAAATATAAATGAACATAAACTTATATTTTTTGACATTTAAAAAATATGGAATCTATGAATTATAGTACTAATAATATACTATTATTATATAAATATTTACTAACAAAAATTTCATAAAAGGAAATCAAATAAATGTTTCATAAATATATATTTGAAATGTTATATTAATATCCTAACTATTGAAATAGCAATTGCGAACTAGTATCATGGATAGGTAAATATATAGGTAAATATATTCAAATAAATTAGAGACATATGCGTGTGTATATATATCCCCAATATACAAAATGCTAAAAAAAAAGACTTTAAAGATTTATAGTATTTATTGTGAGAAATAAAAAATATTTAATTAGTGGATCTTTACAATCAATCGATTTTTATTATTTAAGAATATTCAATATCAAGTTTTTTTGCAATATATTAAATATAAATAAAGAAATTGATTTAAAAATATATTAGTTAAAGATTTTCAATATAAAATTATTATTAATATTGACATCTTTAAATTAATGTACTAAATCAATTTCTATTTACATGTATAGCAAAAATTCATGATATGTTTGTAAAGTTAATAACAGTTGATTTTATATTGAAAAAATTGATTACAGGACTTATATTAATTTGTTATTTTTTTTCTTGATGATTACTATAAACTTTTAAAATTTTAATAATTTTCATTATTTATAAGTCTTTTTTTTTAACATCTTGTTTCAAAGGATTAGAAAAAATTAATCATGAAAAAGCTTAATTGATAGAACATATAACTATTAACATAAGAAATGATTTTCATACACTTATCAGCTAAAGAATATACATCGTTTTATTTGCTGCGAGATCTAGAAACAGATTTCGATTTGGTCCTGCGCGGACTACGATCTCTAGAATCAGATCGCCGTTTATTACGAATTTTATCTTTATTATAGTCATTTCTACTGTGAGAACGGCTACGAGATGATGATCGTGAATGCTTGCTTCTTGATCTTGACTTCGAACGTGAACGAGACCGTGATCTTGATTGAGATTTTGATCGTGAATAAGACCTGGAGTGGGATCTAAAATACATATTACATTAAAATCATGATTGTATTAAAATTGCCTATAATTTTGAATATTATTGCTACTTTATTTATGTAAATTTCTTACATTTTTTGATTATAAATATATTATAAAATATTTTTTACATATTTTAAAAAATTTATGAAACAATTGGGCTTGCAAAAATTGTGACGAGTACCCAGGAAAACTATAATAATTTACTTCATATTCATATAAAAATAACAATTATAAAAATATAGTATGATAGTTTGATTTTCATTATTTATAATATTTCCTATTTTTTTCTGTTGCTTAAATGTCAATATAATAAATATATTATTATATGCATGAAACATTAATAAATCTAAATTATCAAATATCATAAATATGTTATATTATTTTAAAAACAATTATATTTATAGGTTTCAAGATATAATTATTTTAGTTATGTATCATTTTTCATATTCATATATCAGTTTGTAGTAAACAGCTATATAATATGCAATAATAATGTCAAGAAGAAGAGAACAGATGAACTTATACAGATGAAATTGCACAAATGTCAAATATGTGGACGAAGAGTGGCTAGATGAAATGACTCACAGTTTATCTTTCAGTGACCATTAGATCTATTATGATAATTTGGCAAAAAGAGTAAAACAAGTGAAGAATATCAGAGGTACCAGTAGTGCTGATGTGCAAAAACTTTCAGTTTAAGGTGATCTCAGTGGTCGTTAGAAGTATTGTAGTGTGCAGAACTAGCCACTCCATCGGCCATGTTTTCCTCTTTTGCTTGTAGAATGCAGAAAGAAACCCAAGGAACGTGGGTACTTTGTGCTGTAACTACGTAGTATCACAAAGTGAACCCAAGGCGAATCTCACGAGAATCTCAGTAGCAACACATTTCTCATGTGTATACTGTTCTGCTGGTTCTCCTATAAAAATGTTAGTATTACATCTGTATCTTTTTGATATTGAAACCTCTTCAGTTTAGAATATAAAACCTTCATATTATAAAATATTATTCTCTTTCACATAATACCATTTGTTTCATACTTCAAATTTAAAAATAATTTTAATTCTTTATGTAATTTCTTTTGTTTATTGAATCTATTTTACTAAATATTTATGTACAATATTCTGTTTAGAATAAACATAAATCTTATATAAACACATAATTACAAATTAATTTTATTGTACATTTAAGCATATATTTGTTAAATAAAAATCTGTAACATATATATTTCTTGCTTACTTGTCTAATATTTTTTTGCATGCCATAGAATTTATATGAAATAAATGTATTCTATACTCACCTTTTCTTACGTGTATTTCTATGTCGTTGACAATTTCTAGCATAGTGGCCTCTTTCACCACATTCGTAACACCTATCTTCAGGATGAAACAATCTTCCTATACCTCTTCTGAAATAACTCCTATCTCTTAATCTTCTCCCATTAGATGGTTCCACACGAGCTCGTCTTCCACATATAGTTCTTCCATCAAGTCCTCTTATTGCATCTTCTGCATCTCTAGCATCTTCAAATTCCACAAAAGCAAATCCAGGTGGATTTCTAGCTACCCATACATTTCTTAAAGATCCATAGTAAGAGAAAGCATCTTCTAATTCTTGTTTTGTCGCACCACTTCCTAAGTCTCCTACATATACTTTGCAATCTGAAGGATATCTTGACATCTGAAAAAATATATTTAAATAATTTAATATACATCGAATATATATATAATTGAACAAAATAGTTTTATTATCATTTAGTTAATATTTTAAAAATTAATTCATTTGTTTTCAATAATTTATCTATGGATATATATATTAAAAATATTAAAAATTATATTAATAATAAAAATAATAAAAACATATAAATATATATATATATAATTTTTTTAAATATTTAATGTTTTCAAAAAAAATAAAATACAATATATTTGATAAAATTGTACCTTATTCATTGTTGGTTAATTTATCGAACAGGAACATATAACGATATAATAAATCACATTTTCAATTCTTCATTTTGAAGAAAAAATTGCACGTCAAGCACGTCAATTTTTTGTAGTTAGTATCTCATCGAAATGTAAGAGATGATACTTAAAGTCCAGTTTCTAACATAAAAATATAATGTAACGATGTAACGATGAAAAGTATGGAATGAATTGATATAATTATATATTTTTAATATAATTTAAACAAAAATTTATATATATTAACATATTTTTTAAATAAATAAAAAAAATCATAAGAAAAGTTAATATTTTTCAATTAAATTTATGTATATAGAACATTGATAACAATATTTTAATAATGTAACTATTGGTAGAACTGAAATCGATTCTAACAAAGTTTTCGATTTAAATGAAATGAAGTTGTAAGTTATAAATTACGATTTATGAATTCACATATCGATGAAAAGTTGAAAACTGTAATCTTAAATATTATTTATTACAATATAGGATATATAT